CACATTCGTTGCATGCAATTTCATCGGCTAAATTAGTTTGTTTAATGGACTTTATTGGGGTTTATAATCTGCTCAGCCTTTCTTTTAGTCACATTGTCGGTTTAAATGAGCCTCTAGTCCCACCCGTATTGAGAATCCTGTATAAATTACCTAAGCCACCTGCCTGGAACGAAAACGGCGTGGAGGTTTCGAATTCTCGTTTCTTAGTCACTTCTGTGGACGACAACGCTTCGTAAGCGCGTACACAGATGAATGACTCCGAATGAGGGGTACTGATTAGTCTGACACATATTCGCCATCAGAAGCTGATGGAGTCAAATGTTCCCCTGAGGGAAAAAGCCATGGAAGTATAGAGTATCATTAGGTATGTCTGTGTTCTAAACCTTGTACAAGAGGGGATATCTGATCAGCCATGCCCAAATCTCAGCTTCGTTGAGAATCTTGTTTAGACTTCCTGAGGTACCTTCTGTACAACATGGACGATTTAGATTCACGTTTCTTAGTGCTGTATACACATGCCTAAGTGTCATCTTATTATTGAGATGAAAAACATAGACCAGTTGTGACTCTTTACATGTTCACCCAATGACTGGCTATTTGAAAGAGCCATATGCGAATGACGAACTCAGCTGAAAACTTTCAAGAATTCTGATTAAAATGTAGTGAAATATAGATTTATCCACAAGTAGAAGACTACAGAATCAAAAAGCAGTCAATTTGAGGACCTGATCATCATATTTCTAAGTGTTCATTGCAGATTGACCTTATATACGGAATCATCAAAAAACAGGGGCCACAGGACAAGTACATTAAAAGTCAGTGACTTGTTTGTGGTCCTAATTCCTGTCAGTTCATGACATGGCACAGCCAAAATTCCGTATGAAATTTAGCTAACCTCATTTGTCACACCTTTTCACTAGAACACCAGAAAATTCATCTCAAAACTAATCATTAGCTAACTTCAGGTTTCGATTCACTTCCGTAATTTCTAGGGGAGGAGGGTCGACTGATTCCAAGGCATATTTCAGCATAAATCAATAACAGTCAGTAAATGGTGGTGTGCCTCAGAATTAGAATGTCTTTTGACTACCGATTGACATGGATATCAAGCTTCTGAAATGTTCACGCCATTCCTCATGATTCCACCATCGAAGCTATCGATATTCTCGGAGTTGAATTCACTCACATCCACTATTGTCCACGTGTATCAGAAATTTGTGGTGATGCGTAACTGTTAGTCGGCATTCACGCGGGCGAAGAGTGTACGCGTTCTGTCTGATATTGTGTGCTTTTTGTTGTTTCCCTGTACAACTTTCTTTGCTGATTTCTCTGTTTGTCACAGTTGTTACAGACTGTATAGATTAAGTTTGGCATGTTGTTGTCTGCTATAGAATTCTTCAGTTTTCATAATGTAGAATAAAGTTCTGTTGTAAGATTTCACGGTTCAGTGGTTCTATGATGTTTGAGCTGCGAGGAAGATAAGTTTAAATGATGACAAGTGGATGGTAGGAGCAACCAGTTATATGGTGAATCACCACGACACGCTAATCAATTAGCTGTGAGAAAGTTGTTATATATCATATTTTTCAGAATTCAAAGTTAGGTTGAAACAGTTGACTGATTCATCCTAGTTTTCAATAATTCTCCAGTTAAAGCCAATGCCCAGTGAATACTTTGAAATAAATCAATAAATCACAAAGTGTAGTCAAGTTGGGATCAGTAACTATATTTTGTAATTCAGTTTCCAGGATACAGAGTCAGAAACTCATAGGCTACTGGGTTGAATCCTATCACAACTGAGGTTTTCATCTCACTCTCATTCACCACTTTGTATATAATCATGAACTGGTTGAGACAGTTATAAAAGGTTGATACCTACTGTTATTCAATATGATTCACACTATATCAAAATTAAACAATTTTCCGTATCATATCAGCCAACTGGATGTTTCTCCGAATAATTCATAGCATCCAGTGCAGTTATTAGTTGGATGGAAGCAGTCAGCGTTAATCCATGCTTTACTTCAGTTTCGTGATTGTTAGGACCCATCAGCCTCGAATGGACTGATATCCTCCATGAGGTTCCAATCCATGTCATCCATGCTTGCAATTTGAGACATTTCCACTGAGCTATCAGTTCTGCAACTGACCACACGTAGGTTTTGAGAGTAATCAATTTCATATTGTCCTGTCCTAAGTACTCACCGAGTTCTATCGATCACTTTAAAGTGATGCCACCAAGCTAGGTGACTCACCATTAGGGTGTAATTTGATTGATGCTGGTTAGGTTAACACAAATTGATATTCACTGTAGTAGATAAATCTTTCTGGGACTACTTCCGGTTGAAATAGTTCGACAGCTGTAGATTTTCTTTCAAGTCAAATCTTTTTGGCAGAGAAGACACACGTATTGTTCGACTAACAGACACATTTTTAGGTTCAGGTGTGAGACGGAAATTAAACGTATGCACTGGTTGATCCATGGAGGGTAGGTAGGTGACCTAATATAATGTCTAGCCCTAAGTTCTGACTGAATTCCAGCTATACAGTTTGCAATCACGTCATGAAGCTGGGGAAATTCGCGAGTGTCGGGCACTTTTAGGGAAGTTAGGCAGTCGAAAGTAGTCAGTGAGAAACCCGCTTCCTCACGCTAATATTATCCAAAAATTATTAAACTAGAAGAAAGAAACTGTCTTAGAAAAAGGTACACGTTCAAATAGTGTAACTAGAAATGAAAAAGGTTTTGACGACTCGATGGATGAATCGATGTCGGATGGATAAACAACTTACTATTCACAGGTTGCATTCATTCCTCTATGAGTTGTAATGGAGTAATGCCAGTGACCTTAAAGTGTAATCATGTAGGTCATGCAACTTTCAAGCATAAGGTTTGTCTGACTCTTTTTTACAACCCTATTTAACTTGTCAGATAGCGAGTGAAATGTATCCTACAATACGATGTCGGAAATTGTCATCATATGAAATCTGATTAGGTCTAAAAGTTTCTAGGATTTTTATGGAGACTTGGAATATAAGAGTAAAACTGTTGTAGAATGTATTTCCATTCTAGGTGGTTTATTAGATTTATCATAGAATGGAACAGTACTGTTTATGGAATTACATCTCAGACATAATTTATTAAGCATAGTCATATCAAGATAACCACAAAACTTTGAAACATTCTTTATATAGTTGGTCCTAATTTTCTCGCCCCTTTTGTGATATTATAGTGGGTGCTACGGATAAGAATGGATATAAGTAGTATATGTTGAGAGGTCAGCAGAAATAGTAAGCAATTACTAGCAATGGGTAAATATTCTGCCCAGAGAAACCTAAGAGACGATGTGAGCGTATTAAGAGCAAGTCGAGATAGAAGCAAAAGAGGAAATGAAACACACTGTTCAAATGACTATTTTAATGGAAGGTGTACATTTTCCATTAGTACTGGACAAGATGTCATAATAAAGATACTGTCCTGTGTCTCAGTCTTATCGTTCCTTACAGTATGTGAAGTAGGATTTTCCAAATATCTGGAACAGGTGCTCATACTTTCCTGTTGCATGTTGTATTAGATGTTGATTCGTTAAACAAAGATTCGGTTATCAATATCTTCCTCTACCCCGCTATGCTAGCTTTAAGAATTTTCACCCTGTCCCATCCTTTTGTGTGGTGGTTGTGTGTAACTGTATGCATAACTATATTCTGGCTTTTTCCTGGACCTAGCACGTTTGACCTGGGTAGGCTTTTATGCTCAGATAGCCAGCCTAATTGACTCTGCCTAGTCGACCGACCACTTTGACCTCACAGTTGTTGAAAAGGAGGACATATGTAGTTTCTTTGCAAATATAAATTTAATAGTGAACGTAATCCAACTCAGCTATGAATTAGAAAATAGCAAAGGAGAATTAGCGATGTTGGATTGCCGAATAGAACGGAAACAAGATGGGAGTTTAGACACTATTGTCTACAAAAAACCTTCACTCTCGAATCGTTACCCAGACTTCAAATAGTCTCACTCTACGTCAGTTAAAGTTAGCATAATAAAGTGTCTAAATAACAGGACCCAGAAACTTACTCGTAAAACAGAAGATCTATGACAATTAACCAGATACATTAAGGACACTTTAAGCATCAAAAATTACCTTCCCAAATTAATTGATAAGTTTCTCAGTAGTAATAGTAAGAAAAATATAACTGGTATTAGTAACACAAGTTTCAATAGTCGTAATAATAATGTTAATAATAATAGCGACAATACTGTAAAGACAGAAACTGAAACCTTTAAGTATTACTGCACAAAGAAGGCACCTCAGAAACATCATGTAGGATACTGAATAAGGCTGGCTGGGACTACGGTGACATTTACACCTACAAACTCCCTGAAAAACAAGCTTTGTAGGTTAAAAGATCCTACTGATCTAATTAAGCACAATAACTTGGTTTACCAAATCTCTTGCAACGAATTTGAGGCGAAATACATAGGTCAAAGTAGTCTACTAGCCAGGGTCAATTAGGATGTTCGACCACAAAAGCCTAGCTAGGTCAAAATTGGTTCATTCTAGTAAGATAAGGAATTCAGAGAAAAGTTCAGGCATAGCCTTGAATGGAATTACAGACAACCACATAATAGGATGGGACATGGTGAAAATCCTTTAAACTAACATAGGGGAACGAAGGGAAACATTAATAACCGAAACTTTGTTTATCGAATCAACACCGAATACATGCAGCAGGACTGACTCAGCAACTGTTCCAGATATACGTACTCATATGACAAAGGGGTCGAGGACTAATTGTATAAAGGATGACTCAAAGTTGTGGAGTTATCCTGACATAACTATGGGGACGAAAGATTGTGTCCGAGACGTAATCCAGCAAACACTACTGATAAATATAATAAAGTAACTGAAAAGGAAATTTAGAATAGGCAAAAGATTAATTAGTGTTTAAAGTGAATTGACAGATTCCATCGAATGTATGTTTTGATTAGGACAACTCACCAAGTATACTTCATAGTATGATCCATCTGTTTGTATAACACGTACAATTGGTCCATCCGATTGCCAGGTTTGAAAAGCAACTCTTAGATGATCTTTATTGGTTCTGTTCAACGGCTGAATATGATAAATCACATAGGCTCCATTATCTTCTCTATATGGCATAAAACCTCGAGCTTCTGGAATTTTGAGAAGTGAAAATAATAAAGAGAAAATGCATCATTATGTCTGGAAACAATTGTATCCAATTTACTATCCAACAATTCATGCGTAAACTTATTAAACTTTATGCAAATATACTACTGTATTAAATATAAGTAGTTTGGTACAAAATAGTTCATTAAGTGCACTTCAGTGGTGAAATCAGTGATTTTGACACCACCTCCAAATGGACTGCAAATACAGGATATAATATTAGTTTCTAACAGATGCACAAACGCTTGGGGAATAAGCTCGGCTGCTGAGAACTCAAAGAGGAAAGAGAGGTTTTCCATGTCTAGAAATGCTACAGTAGATATGTACTTACAGTGATAATGATAATTTCCCGCCTTTTCAGAAAGATATTTTATGTCGATTGAACTTGTCCTATTAACCAATCGGATATGCACATATATGAGAATATCAAGTGACTCTGAAATTCTCTAGGGACTTTGGCTCTCATTGAAGGGTCTAAATAGGGATGATATAATCCAAAGAGGTGTGAACTTTTGATTATTGTTAAGTAGTTCGAGGAAGCCTCGGTAGACTCTCGTTTCATGCTTGTTCAGACCCATCAGCAAGGCATATCTGTGAACTTCCAGGAACTGTTATCCTTTTAGGAATTCCGAGCCGCTTTACCCAGTGCTGCAGTACCTCAACAGTGAGCGCGTTTAACTTCCTGTGAGAATAGATTGTATGCACTGATTGGTCTTCTTGTCTAGTCCTAAGTACTGAGTGAATTCCATCGACCACTTGGGGATGTATTCGCCAATCTGGTTAACTCATAATGGAAGCAGAATTGAGATTCATTATCCAGAGAATTCAGTCAACACTTAGGAATCACTGACATGAAATTAAATACTCTCCAGTGACCAACCAATGAGTAAGATAAGTAGATGACTGACTGACCTACCAAATGAACGGAATTGGAATGAACTCATTTCGTGCAGCAAACAATGAGCCATATCCATTATGTGAAACCTGGTGATACTACCTAGCCGCCCAGACCTCAGTACACGGAGAGGAGTTGGAACTCACGACCTACTGGTAGGTATTCAACCACCTAGACCAGTGATCGACATCTCCACTGAAAATCGCAAAGCTAATTCTTTTTCCAGTAAATGATTTCGTGCCAAAAGATTTTTATATCGAATACATGAGAACGTTAAAACGGATCAGGTTTCTCATTAAACACACGAAAGTGAGTCAACATGTTCGAATAACTGATGTACACACTAATTAGAAAGCTCAACATTAGATAATTGACGATCAAGCGTGATGGAAGTATTTAAGCGTCAAGTTTTAAATATAAAAGTCATTGGTGACTGAAAAGTAACTATTCAGGTCTTAAATGCTCCAGGGAAAACTGAAAACATTATGGAGTAAGAACTGATTTCGACACAGCCTGAACTGTTATACACCTTGGCTTCCTTCTCCCTCCCTCCGCATCTTATTTAATATTCTGGGATGATTTCAATCATTTCGAGTAGACAAATTTGATGATAGCGTGTACTTGAAGAGGTGGTGAAGATACCGGGTGAAAAATTCATCATAATTAAACATCATACAAACCCAGAATAGATGTAGAAAACAAATTTGTCGCTGTTCGACAATTTAGTAGTATCTGCATCAAAAATAACCTACGTCTTTCACATCGTGCTCCATTGTAGGCAGTATAACGGCAATCACATCTTCGTTGATAATCTTGTGCATAACATCTGCCTCCATTCAAACAGTAACCAGGTATACACTCAGGTTGAGGTTTCGGTGGAAGTATAGGGAAACTTGGTGTAGGCACAACTATAACTGTCCCAGATGATGTAACTCTACCAGATTGTAAATCATTTATGGGATATCGTCCATTCCAATGTAATCCTACCAGGAAAACAGAGAAATTTATCAACATAGATTAATTTAGGAGTAAGCTATGAGACAAATCTGATAAACAGTTAGCGTGACGGGTTAGTTCAAGAAAAGAATCTCATTGATGTCTACAACTGTGGTTGTTGGTTCAAAACTCTTAGAGGATGACAGAGTTCATAGAGATAGATAAGTGTCCCATTGATGACCTCTAGACAGAATGAAACTCCCACCTTTCATTCATTCATTAAACTTCCTGCTTCTCTTTGATAAGAGTTCAGATGCTGTTCGCTCCTCCAAGAAAATCTTCATCACGATAAGCAAACTTGAAATTCATCCAAATAGTAATTTCACTTTCGGAAGATACTAAACTCGGTTAGATTCAAGCCAATAATCTTGAAAATACTGGTTCTCTTCTTTCTAGGTAATAAGTTATACGTTCCGAGCTATTTTGTATACCAACTGGATAATTCAAAACTAAACGACACCTTGCATTTCATTATAGCCAAGTATTTTAAAATAGAAAAGCCAGTAAAATCAATGGATGATACTTTTACTAACAGTTTATAAGCAGACAAGAATAGTTTTTAGATTCAGCATTAATTTAAGCGAAACTAAAGCTGAGGATACTGATTAATGGATCATTGAAGCGACCAAGTGAATAGGATTTGATCGCCAAACAGTAACTAATACAATTATGGATTCCTTGGTGTCTATCATAGTCTGTTTGGGACCTAAATACCCTATTGATGAAGTCCCCTAAACTCAAACCTGAATGAAACAAACTGGAATTCTCGGGAGAAAACAAGTCTCAGAGTGGATGATGACTTTTACTTATGTTTACTAACAAGGATGAAACAGGCCTTCCAGCTGATTAACTCTTGATATGAAGCAATGTCGAGGAAATCGTGAACCTTTATTATTACTATTGTAGTGGACGTGGCTGATAAGAATGGATATAAGTAGTATATGTTGAGAGGGTGGCAGAAATCATAGGGAACTACCAGCAGTGGGTAGTGATTCCGCAAGAGATTAGGCAGGCGTATGAAGAGCGTATCAAGAAAGAAGTAGCAGAGAAAATGAAGCGCATTAGCAAAATGTCCAATCCATCTCCACTTTCTTCTGCAAATTTGTTGGGCGATGGGTTCTTGGTTGGCTCACTGCCAGGCCAGAGTTCCTTGTGGCTTATTCTTTCTGGCCATCTGATCTCCATCTTCAGTATAGAGCCAGCGTAGGTGACAGCTGTTCATGTATGTCTGCAGTTTGTTGGAAATGCTTTTCGCCAAGTCTCTCAACCATCACACAGAAGCATTGACTTGACTTAATGTTGAAAATCAGGATCTTGTTTTTTATGGTGAACCTTTAGGACGAACGATTCAACTAATAAGCCTAAGTTGATGGATATTATTGAAGGGGAATACGCTTTCTTTGAAAAAGGTTGAAAGATTTAACTCTTCAACACACAGTCCTCAAGGTTGGTGAGTGTGTTATCTCTTAAAAATTTCCAAACGAAGATAAGACAATAATGTATTTTTGAGAGTAATGGGGATTCTAACTTAGAGATAGTATTCGTCATGGAGTGACATCAGTTGGGGAACCATTGGAAACCTGGAAGCATTGGACAGCTCTGTCGTCCCAGTACAGGCTTCCTCAGCATTATAGTTCTCCAAGTGATGTCAGTCCGTGATGAATACTACCTCTAAATTGAAATCCCACATCAACCTCAAAATACATTATTGTATGGTGCTCATTACTGAAATACTTCCAGATGGATATCAGGAAGGTGTAATGAGAAGCCGTGACCTGTGGGATCAATCAGTCGGAAAGGAAGTGAATGCCATCTGAAGACCTTGGGTGATAACTAGGCTACATTGTGAATTGACAGAAGTTTGGAAACAGTGAGCCACTAACCTACGACTCAGCAACTCAGTGGCTAACGCGTTCAACATGAAACCTGAAGGTCCTTGGTTTGACCCTAATCGAGTTGTTGGTGCGTAATACTGAGGAGCCCGATAGTATGGATGAAACAGCTGTCCAGTGCGTCCAGGTCCTCAACGGTTCCTCAACTAATGTCAGTCCGTGATAAGATAAGACAGTTAGCTTGTACATTTAATTGTGCTCAACAACTCTTCAGTCGATATAACACTTCAAAAGAAAAAGATCATTTTAAAACAAATGATAATTTTAAGAATTTACTAGTTTAACAGAACTTTACCACTTCCAGTCAGTGAATATGACAGCAGAGATAGCGTCAAATACCACCAGTATAAAGTTAATTTTACTAACTAAACAGAAGACAAATTGTATGCCACCCAAGATGTGATACCTCTGTGTCTGTATAACATTGTAGTGAAAAACAGCTGAACAATGAAATATTCCAATGAACCATAATCTACACCAGCTAAAATTCTGTCTTTCTTTTGTTTTTTTAAACATCATGGAATCTTTAATTGATAAATTGCCCGCCTCACCATTAGAAGTGACTGTTTCATTTCGAACTATATTACCTAAGAAAACCACTCAGTAATTCTTTTTAGAAGTTTGTGTAGATTTATTGATTGATACCAGTCGGAAAACTGCTGAGAATCTCGGAGAGCTAGGAATATGTCTGTTTCTCGTATCAGTCTCTTCAGCAGTTCTAACCTACGACTGTGCAAAGGATTGAACCCAGGACCGTTGGCTACGGCAGTGAGCAGGTTTCCATTGAGCCACTGGACTGGGACCCATTGGTGATTATTTGTTATCTAGTTCGACTTATTTCGCTCCATAGGTTAAGGAAGCAAATCCGTATTCAACATGCATTGGTTCTCTTGGCCCATTGGTAAATTCCTTGTCCTGTGGCCCGGATGTCCTTGGTTACATCCTTAAAAAGTCTCATACTAAGAAGAAACAGATGTCTAGTACCTCCAGATTATCATTGGTTCTCCGACTGATGCTAGTTCTTGTTGGACACCAACATGAAATCCACTTAGGTTGTATTAGCTCAAATAACTATGAGACATTAAAGTGTAAAAGTGGAGTTCCTACTGAGTATCGACATGTTCCCTAAATAAAATGAAAATTCCTAGAATAAGAAGGTGTAGACTTCAGTGATAAACTTAAACCATTATTCACTATTTAAACAAACAATTACCTCCAATTACACCACGGAATATATCAGATTTCTTTTCATCAGCAGCTAAATGAATTGCACTGTAGGTGATACTGTTGTCATAGGGATCAACTAAACCTGTGAATTTAGATTTTTAAAAATTACAGTTAAAATTTTTTGAAATTTGTTAAGTACAACAATACTAGAAGAGGTAATTAAGTGAAATCGAAGTTTATTCAGTACTCAAAGTTATTTTATTGACTGATTTACTGTCTGAGGTAGCCTTGGTTTGAAAGAACAATATTAGTGTACTAATTTTCAAGCTGGTAGCCTCCAGGTTAACAAACAAATTGATAATATTTGGGAACCATTTATCACTTAACAAGTTCAAACGGTCAAATAATGACAGGTTCGTGCCCATGCTTCGTTAGACGACGATGAGCATGGTGGTTCAGTGCACTGACCAATTCATTTATCTGAGAATTCACATCATCTCTGGCATATAAGTGGCTAATAAAACCTTACAACTGACACAACAGGTTCTCAAGTTACGCCATTCATGGTGCTGGTAAGATATTCGAACACCCACTAAACATCAGCTGTACAATAAATTGTCTGACTTTTGTCGCCTTTATGATTGTAATAGATAGTTTCTAAAGTGGATTACATAAGGAGGGTTAGTGCTTTAGGTATGCGCAGATAACTTGATCTCACTCCCTCTGAATAGGTTCGTCAAATCCTGTAGGTGATTTTGGAAGAGTTCTCAAAAGAAGCTCAGTGACACGACTTCACAAGATGTTCTATTATTGAGCTGAAGATGAACTTCTGTTCTCTCTTTGTTAGCCAGACTGAGTATTGTTCTCGAGCAAGTCTTACAAGCAGATGCTTGATACAGCTGATGTACTCAGCTCCATAGGGGCGTTACGTAGTAATGCCAGATCCCATGCTGATGGTGACTGACTGACTAACTAACTAACTGGTTGTCTGAGTGAATGAAGCAAGTCATTTAGGCTAGTCTGCTAATTACAGTATTTCCAGCTAACTGGCTTACTTCTTAGTGGCTACAAGGTAATATTACGACATGAATGGCTTACAAGAGTTTCTTTGACAAATATGTAATAAACTATTAGAAATTCCCATCCAACTATCAGATTTTCCATTTTGTATACCGCTTATCAACTCATTTCAAAGAAGCATTCAGATTTTGGCCAAATTATTCCATATGAATCGTCGTTTAGTCTCTTCGAATCCATTTCTCGTTATCGAAGTTTGAAGTCATAAGAACTGAGCTCCAGTCTAGTTGGCATGCAGTTGGATCCAGTCCTAAATAGGATGAAACGTACATTCTGAATTTCAGTGTTGACCATAATGCAGCTAAATAATTTCGAGAATAGGTCATTAGTTGGTAAACCATCTAGGTATCCAGGTCTGACTGCACAATAAGATCCGAATTTCTTCGATCAAGTTAACAACGTGATCACTAAGTTAGTTGGTGCAACATTTCAATTCACGCCAATACCCGACGCGGTTGTTGCATATTTCCCTGATAAGTGTCACATCGAACAAGAAGTACACGCATTTAAACAGTCTTCATCATTATCATAGTCTCTTACCTGGTAATGATAATCGAAGCACTTCTCCATCTTGTGTAACAATCATTGTCCTACCCTTCCGTTCAACATTCAACATATGATAATTGCCATCATTTGAACGCATTCCAAAATCATGAGAGATTTTTCCACCCGAATCGATAACAATACGTCCATCACGCTATGAATGTATATAGAAAAAGGAAGGTGGAAGGTAAAAGAGTTGATGCATCATAAAGTTAGGTAACTCTGTACAACGATGTCTATCACCTCTCACTCTTGGTAACTTGTTTTCAATTGGTTTGTGAAAACGCGTTCTAATTTATAAACCTTATGTCTACAGAATACAGATTTATGGTCAGTAGATGCACAGGTTTGGTTCACTGCCCTTACCACATGACTTCTGACTAGTGGATCAGAAGGAGTTCGAACCACGCATCACATATCAAATTTTTAGAAGCCAAATTGTATTATATCCCTCATATAGCAGATGTGATTCATAATCTAGAGCATGAACCTGCATATGATTACTGAAACATTTGCGAAGTTGGTAATCCCGACCTTTAAATATGTTGCATCTGTGTATCCTCCTTGTGATCATCTCTCCCTTCAACTAGTTGCATTAGGGATGACTCTAAAGGCCACCTCAACAACCAATTCAACGACTTCCTTTTATAAAAATCTGCCTTTTCAGCCTAGAGAAAAAGAGACCTAACTGGATATTTTATTCGTTGTAAGGGTAATCTTCAGGCCACTTTCTGCATTTGAGGTGACTTTAAAGGTTTCAGTATTTTGGCTTGGAGGACACGCTTTCGTAAAATACAGTAGCGCACTTGGTTATCTCTGCATTTCCAGGGTGGACTTTCATATCACTCCTATATTTGTTATGCTACTACTCCACTACCTATCCAGTCACTCTACTTCGATTGACTGTTACACTGTGTACTTGCAACGACTCTAACTCACTAAGGCCTGTCTGCTGGTTAGCACTTGCGATCTTCATTTTGATTGGTGGTATGGATTGGTTTTAGTTATTCCTGTAGTTTGCCAGCTAGAGAAGTGAGGTCTCAATTTTCTTTGTACATTATTTGACTGGGTCTTACTGTTTTCCCTTGTAATTGATTCAGCGATTTTCCCTACTGAAAAGCCACGGTTGACGGTATCAGTTGATCTTATTTTAGTTACATTCCTTATATCAGCTGAAAAGTGGAATGTGTTGATGAATCTCAAATAACTGACACGGTTTGTACTATTTTGTTTATTTTGAAACTCGTTTTACTGATGACTTAACTAGTAACACTAATGTATAGTTAAATTCAAGAGTTTTTGATTGACCCCTCATCCATTTCTATATGACCTAAATTTCGGGGATAATCATTGTATGTTGAGTCAAATCCATTGTTGTGCATTATCTCATATTTTGTGCTTGAAATCGATTGCTATGGCTTTATAAATTCTGGTGCGTTGTGGTCAAATAATTTAGTGATGCATGTGGATAAATGAGATATCCTAATATATACAGACAATGAATATACTAGACTTTATGTTCTATTGTAGACTGTTGAGAGGGTGGAATTGTGTGACTTTTCATGTAGGTAAATTGAGTATACGAGATTGATCACCTTCAGGGTAAGCGTTAAGACTGAATCAGCAGAATCACTTGCTTAAGACAAAGTTATAACGAATTTGGAGACTGAGTTAACTCAGAAATTTAAGACTAGCAAACCACCGTTTTACCTTTAGCTCAAGAGTAATATCAGATGTATTATTCTGTAAACAGGATGTCAACTTCACTCATCAGTGATAACAGACGAATGGCTAAGACAGATTCCTACTTTCTTGATGCAATTACTTTGACAACGAATGTTTAAACAGAGCTCTAATGCAATAATTCGGCTTTTATAAGTGTAGTCAAACAAACAACGTAGGATGTGCAGACTCACTAAAGATTGTTCTGCGAACATGAGTCCTAAATAAAAGTACTTCTATTCCAAGGTGGAAATCATTATCGTCGATACAGTTTAAAGCTGTACTGAAGTGTCACTTACACTGCATCATGTCCTCGGAAAGTCACAGACATCAAAACAACAACTCCTACTCGATGTACAAGAAGTAGCTATAGCTCACCACAAAGCCAAGTTGATTACACTTAGTCGTTTGGAGCGATGAGTAAGAAGCACCAGTCTCAGTGGGAACAACATCACTCACTGGGGTGCAGATACATTTAGGTGACTAGTCCAAATTAGGACGAAACGTGTATCCTGGACTGCAGTGCCAGTTGTCAGGATGAATATACCATCGTGTTCTCATTTACTGGAAGCTAGGATCTGTGACCGTAAGACTTCTCATGTTGCAATAAAGTCAGTTCTTTTTCGACAAACTGTACTTTCAATTTCAGAAGTATGCAAATAAGAAACATTTATCAATAAAATTTTAACTGTGCTTGTATTGTGTCAGTTTTTACCAGTATGAATGAACCTTGACAAAGTTGTCAACCATGATGCATACAGAATGTCGACATATCCAACATAAATGTGGTTGTACCTATCATAATGTTCAACTTGACAATGAAACGTTCGCCATACTCAGAAGTCGGCTTACTCTGATTATGATATGGACGAAGTGGTCTCTTCATCAATCGAAAGTCGACGAAGTAGACTAAGAATCATATATTATGTTAACAACAAAAGTTTATCCATTCATCTTAACTAAAATTCTTATCCAGTAAAAATTTAACGTAGTTTGAGTATGAGCCTGACCACCGCATGAAAAACTACTACCCTCACTTCATAATCTCTTGAAGTAGGACAGATAACAACTCCTAGGCTGTTCAGTTCGGGAATTTTTTCGGGATTTAGCTGTCTTTCAAGTTGGTATTCCTCACAGACTGACATCAGTCAGAGAAACATTGGAAACCTGAGAGCACTGGACAACTTTTTCATCTTAGTATAGGAGTCTTCAGCAGTGTGCACCTATGACCCCACCCCTTGCCAGGGATTGAACTCGGGACCTTCAGGTTTCTTAGTCCAGGTTCAAACTCAGTGGCTCAGTAGTAACATGTAGGCCATGGAACCCGAAGATCCAGAGTTCAATCCCTGGCAAGGTGGGGTGGGGTCATGGATGTGTGCTGCTGAGGAGTCCCATACTGAACGAAACAGTCGTCCAGTGCTTCCAGGTTCCCAATTTTTCTCCTAGAATGCTTCCAGAGCCTCTACCTAGGAAAATTCGGGGTCCAATATCCATAAAACCACAAATCCAATATCTCTTAACATCAGTGAAGATGCTGTCTGAACACATTCATTCTTTGTGAAATGCTAATGAAGTCACTAAGCTCGATAATGAAACATGCAAGAACACGCCTCAAACCTTGAAGAACATAAAATAATTACCAGACTTTCATATAGCACTTCTCAGTGAGATCGGAATACTGATGGATTCATTGAATGAAATAATGAAACACTCAAAATCGAACAATAAAACACAATTAGTATCATCCTAAGCTACAAATCTTCCGTACTATCAATAAAATCACTTTTCAACACTCACATCCAAGAAAATGATAACATCACTGGAAAATAATTTAAAAACTAACCAGCTTTATTGCCCAGTGTCTTCCATCAGTTGTCATAAAAGTGACTAGAGTACCTGAATCCATATACGTTTTGAAACCAAGAGTAACATTGTCTTCAACAGTACGCACAGATGGTATTAAATTATAAATTACGTAACCGTCCTTTTCATAACCAATATGAATACCATGAGCATCTACATAAGTTTAGTGAAGCGAAAAAATTATCGATCTGCTTTAATTTCATCTGAAAACATTCAAAACTAATTAGAATCAATTAAAACTTGAAAAATCATGAAATTCCCACAAACCTCTAAATTAAATTGATCTAGTGCTCATTGGTGACTAGCTTCAAGAATCAATCCCTGAAGTTCCAATGAGAAGTCGTAATCGGTGGACCAAACCTGGTAGATGTAAGAACAAATACTTGACTATGGCATTACATGATGATCGAGCTATGTTGTGAACTGACAGAAGTAGGAAATACGAACTACTGGATTCCGCCGACCCAGTGGAACAATGATGACTTGCTGGTCACGGAAAGTGAAGGTTTCGGGTTCGACCCCTGGTGGGGTCATGGATGCGCACTACCGCACGCTATGACGAGACAGCTGCCCAGTGCTCTCAGGTTTCCAAAGTTCCTCCAACTGATGTCATTTCATGATAAATACCAACTTGAAAAGTATATTTAATGTCGTGGAATGTGGACTGGGAACAATAACTAAGCTTGGATACTACCAAGATATATGAACAAAAATTGTTTTATCCGGCTAGAATTATGAAAAAACAGATAAATCAGTGTAAATTCTGATACGAAAGTACGTCATTTCAAGTTGCCACACTTAGATTAATGAAAATATCCGGTACTCTGATGTTGATAAAGTGTACATACATCTACGGCATTGTGATCAGTTGTTACTTATGTCACAGAGTCTTCAAACATCGGTTCCTAGCCCCTCTAGGACTGCAGTCGCTTCCTTACGATTTCATGGACTGGTGCCACGTCTTGATTTGGAAATGATATGGGCATAGAGAGAAAAGAATTGTCTAGAGAGGGACCAATCAAAATGTATTTTGTGTTATCATGTTACATGTAGACGGACAGACAGACAGACAGACAGTGGATCAGTTAATCAATAAGATTATTTTCAACAGTGAACCATAGACGTAAATTAGATAGATTTTTTGTCCTTGACCTCGGTCTTTCGACCCGAATACATGTTTCTACACGTCCACCGTGTCTTCTGCACTAATTAGTCGAGTCGGAAATCAACTGGGATGTCGGTGGCTAACAGTCGATATTAGTACGTCGTTGGCGGCCAAAGCAGTTTTCGAAGCATAACAGCTGGGGACGAGGATATTGAGAAATAGAGTCTTCTAAGTTGGACAATTTCCTCAAACAACAAATGAGGATTATCAAGATACTTACTCAGTGCGAAATTGCTGGTACTGAATTATCGCCTATTATGCCAGTTTTAATAGCTCCTTCAGTTGATGACATCGCCAATATCATCACTGAATTTCATTACGATCCTAAAGCCAATCACATTTTCGATAGTTGATTCAGGTGCTACAAAGGCCACTTCAAAGTGGATTTTGCTGGACAAGATGATTTCTGCAAGGTACGTCTCCTACTTCGGAAGCTTGTTCCACCTGATTGCTCTTTCCACGCCACAGTCTAGACACTTAATGACATATCTGCAGAATATCAACGATTGGATAACCTGAAGCGTGATACGAGTTTAGCTCATTCCGAACTCCAGGGTGGTTCTTAAGTACATGCAGTTCGCTAGATATCTTATTCCTCCCTCTGGCCACATACACCTAGGCCTTATCTGAAAGGTTCATCGGCCCAGTAACTCTTGCGATACGAATCGACCCTCGAAAAAGACACCCCCAACACTTTGCTGGCATTATTGTGCCTGGCGTTTCCTCAAAGCTTGTCCACCTAAACAACATCGATGCCGGGACCGTAATGCGGGGGGTCATAAGAATGGTTTTTGCCACTAACACCGAATGATGTATGCAAAGGTCATCCTCAGATAGCGTCACAGATCCCATTCTCGATCAATGGGTAAATCACTTGCTTGATGGTTGATTTTCATGCTCATGCACCTGCCTGCCGAAAGAATATCGACAAGACTACTGATCCCTCCAGTAGACAAGGAGGAACTCTCTCTGAATCAGTCAAACAGATGTAAGAAAAAGACAGTGCAGTCCAGTCTGACCCCAAATAGCATTCTTCCGAAGAGGGAGGTGATATGGGGATAGAGAGAAAAGACTAGCCTGGAGAGGGACCAATCAAAATGTAATCGTTGAATATGTACCTATATGGCTTCAAAAGCAAATGATCTCACAGATCCGAAAAGCGTAGGTGACAAACATCCATCTTCATCTATCGATGAACATATACTAGACACTAACCATAGGATAAACATGGAAACAGCTTTTAAAGCACTACATAAAAGTGGTTAGAGACGAATGCTTAATTCTATTGAAGCTCTTGCCATCCGTAAATTCAAACCCCCTGATTTATGCATACAAAAACAATTTGTACTCACGTTGAACTTGCTTTCATTTTCATGTCAAGAGTAATATGCTAGAGATTTTGTTATTTCTCTGTCCTTCCTATTTCCATGTTTCCCTTTAACTTCATTGACTCTGAGTCAGCTTACAGGACAGAAAATATCATTCGTTTAGCATTTGTTTCTAATCAACTCCTCTACATGAATCAAATTATTCACCGGGACCTAAGCGCCTAAGCAACTCCACTTATTTTTCTGCATTATCGATTGCAAAACAGTAAAGTATCTTACGATTAACACCTTACATGTTACTAGCCGTCACTAACCTAGTCATGGCCAGCCGGTACACTTTTGAATTGTAAAACAAAAAGTAGTTAATTTCAAAATGGATAAACGTTTTCAGTAGATTTCAATTAAAAATCACTTTTCCTTCACTTCCAAGATGATTTTGCTGCATACTTGAACCCAGCCATGAATAAAACATGAAAATTCATAGCCTACTGATCAAGATTATAGTTAATTACACTTCAGTTACTCGGACAGTCTGTAATTTTCAGTTGATTAACGCTGATTATGTACAAGAAAGCTAAAAAATTGCACTAATGAAGGGATTTACATTCAGAGGAAAGGGGATTAATCAAATCAGTACTTCATCACTTTAGAAAAAATCTTCAAATGATGGTGTACAATTAAAGAGGTGAAATAATTTCAGAATTTCTAGTCCAATTAGTAAGAAGTTGAAAGTTTTAACTTCATGTTCTCTAGCATTCATAAGAAGTGAACACTTAAAACCTTAGAAAAACGTCTATTAACCTTTTCAAGTCACAAATCTGGTTAACTAATGGCCTTAGTGAGAAACATTAACATGAACAAACCTAGACTACTGAGGATCAAGCAGTTAAAAGTAACCAAATTCATGTTACTCTCCATACAATGAAATCACTAAACTAAATAGCTAAATATCTAACTCCACTGCTATTTGGTGTTAAGAAGCTGCAAATAAATAGCATGGAGACTTTCACAGCCTACGTTTCACACTAGTTGGTTTTCATCAACAACAGCTTGTCTAGAAATTCAGTTTACCTAATCCATCAAAGAAGATCACAAGAAAAACTTTATCACTAAAGGATATTACTGAGTCCATAGCCCCAATCATTTGATTTAGTGTTGTTGGTCTGTGAACTTCCTCCAGCTTAGAAGATAATACAACACTAATCTCAGTGCCAAAATGCATAAAAACGTATTTACAATCACTTACCATTTTCACACTGAGTTCCCGTTCGTGCAGTCATAGAACAGTCACAACGATAAACATTTCCTGGAAAAACTGAACAAACTCCCCCATTGTAACAATAGTTTGGTGGACAGGCAATAGGCTCTGTGCATGTCTTTCCGCGATAACCAGTTCCTGTACAGTCACATACATAACTTCCAGATTTCACTAAGCAAACCCCATTGTTTTGACAATATCCTGGAGGACATGTTTCCGGTATTTCACATTGCGTCCCCTTGTAATCTGTGCCTAGACAATCACATTTCGGTATTCCTCGAACCATTTCACATCGACCACCGTGTAGACAATAATCCGGTGGACACTGCTTAGGCATTTCACATTGTTCGCCTTCGAAATTGATAGAACATGTGCAGTGTGGACGATGATCTGGTCCAGGGTAACAAGTACCACCATTCATACAGTAATTCGGTGGACACACCTCTATTTCACATCTTGATCCTCTAAACCCTGGATAACAATCGCAGGTAGGGTTTCTTTGTCGAACTACACAAATACCATGTCCTGTACAGTAGTTCGGTGGACATAAGGGTATATTACATGTTGGACCAGCATAGTTAGTTCTTGAACAGTCACATGATGGACGATCATCAGGCCCAACCCTACACTCACCATGATTTGCACAATAATTAACTGGACATATTGGACTTTGACATCGTGGACCTTCATGACCAGTACCTCTACAATTGCATTTGGGCTGCTGTGTGCGAAGATCAACCGTACACACACCTCCGTAGGCACAGTAACCTGGAGTGCATATGGAATCAAGACATCTTGGTCCAGAAAATCCAGTCCCTGTGCAATCACATATCGGTTTGTCATCTGGTCCCACTGAACAACGTCCTCTACCGCAATAATCAGGTGTACAAACTGGATCTTTGCAAAGGAATCCTGTGAACTGAGTACCACGGCAGTCACAATACGGTTTGTCATCTTCTGATATCCTACAATGACCACCATTTGAACAGTAATCAGGCGTACAAATAGGAACTTGACAACGATCACCCCAGTATCCTGTTCTCGTACAATTACATTGAGGTTGATCATTAAATCCAATGTAGCATCGGCCTCCATTAGCGCAGAATCCAGAATTACAAATCGGTGTACCACATCTTGGACCTGTAAAACCAGTTCCCTTACAGACACATTCAGGAGCACCTGTTGCATCAGTACGACAATAACCTCCATTATCACAGAAAGTTGGTGAACACGACTGTTTCTCACAATATTCACCATAAAATCCAGTAGTACGACAATCACATGTTGGACGACCGCTTAAATCAACTCGACATATTCCATTGTTTCTACAATAACCAGGCCTACATATTGGCTGTTCACAACGACCTCCCTGAAATCCAGTCCCCTTACAATCACATGTTGCAACTGACCCCATCATATAACATCGTCCATTGTTTTGACAGTATGTACCACTGCTACATGGACTGATTTCACACATTGTACCAGTATGACCGGTACCTGAACAATCACAAACTGGTTGACCATTTATCATTTGACAGCGTCCATTATTCCTACAATAACCTGGTGGACATTCAAGGATAGGATTTTCACATCTAGGCCCTTCAAAACCAGTTCCTGTACATGTACATTGAACTTCTTTTTCTGAAATCTGTCTGCATGTTCCACCATTGCGACAGAAATTTGGTGTGCAACGCCTTAAATCTAGAAAGGAGAATGAAACGAAATAATTGTTGATAAAATAAAATAATGAAGTGAACAACCGCAAGTAAATTTAATCAAACATTTGTGTGTACTGCCAAGGAGTCCCTTACTAGGACGAAACAGCTGTCCAGTGCTCCCAGATTTTCAAAGGTTCCCCAACTGATATCAGTCCATGATGAATACTACTTCTAAATTTGTTATTGTTCACAGATGTTCAAACTAAGCCTATTCTCCTCAGATGAGCGGATTATCATACAGTTTATTAAGTCTCAATTCTAGAAGGAAGTGGCTTCATAACCACACATCACTTATCCCCATCTATATCTCCTACACTAAACTGTGATTCACATTTGACTGTGTGTTGCAAACTCACCAGAAAAGTTAATGCACCAATGCGAACCTGAGGAACTCATACTAGTACTACTTCCATAAATTGCACATTGCGACGTATACTACTCATTAGTAGTGTAAATTTCATCATCAAAATTCCACGGATAGTGTCGTAATTTGTGACTACGCTCGGTTTTTATCGTTTATTTGATGATACTCATAACGTATATTCTAATGATAGCATTGTTTTCTTCTGGATTCTTTCCTGAATTTCTATACGTTCAGATCCACTGAGTACAGTTATTTGGCTTTTGATCTCATCTGCTGAAACGTGTGACTAAAGGACGGAAATTCGTTTATTGACATACTTGTGGATATGGCTAGAAGTAATCAGTATCTGTTAAGACTGAACTAGAGCTCAATTTATTGTGAATAACATCTTGTATTCTGTCAGTCTGAATGACATCAAACTGAAAGATTTATGCGTAGGAAAAGCTTCAAATTAGTTTGTACTGAAGATGCCAGGTATCATTTATACTCAAATAAATAATTCTGAACAGGTTAAATATGTATAGAGGTGAATAACTTCTCGAAATGAGTAGTGAATATTCAGCACTAGATGCTGACTTTTTTGGTTTTCTTCGTTTATTCTAACTGCTAGTGCCCAGATTCAGCACTCATGTCATATGGCTATGATGCTACGTTACGCCGCTTGCAAACGTCTCACTAGCCATTGCATAGCTAGTATGTATAGTTTAATCATCACAATTGTCTGACTTATAACCAGTCTATTTTTCTCTTTGTCTATATTTCATCAATGCGGTAAAAATACTACGAGGTGGAACCTTGTAACTATGTTCAGTGGGACCGCGTATGTAAGCCCTCGAATGTATAACCCAATGTATCATTTAGTGATAACTAGTTTTGTGTATTATGCGTCAACAATGACCAGTAAATGAACTGGATGTAGTGTCGAACAAAGCTATTCAATTTGATGGCTCATAGCAGGAGAAAGTAGTTCAAAACTGGAGGAAATTAATGGGTCACTTTGAAGTTGAATTCGTATCACTTGAAGTAACTTTAGAGGCCACCCCAACAACAGCTGATTTGACCAATCAAACTTCCCTATTTTATGAAAATCTACCTTTCCAGTCGAAACGAAGAAATTTAATCGGTTGCTTCGATCGTTGCTACGATGACCTTTAAATTCACCCTTCACTTGACGTCAATGAGAAGAATGATACCACTTGTAATCATTGATCAGGCTTAGCCAATAGACCAAACAAAGGAGTGACTTTGATTACCAATCACACTTCTTTGCTTCATGAAAAACGATTTTCCTAGCCAAAATACCAAAACCTGATTGATTATTTCAGGAGTTGTTAGGGTGACCTTCAAAGCCAATCCAAATGAAGTTTATTTGTATGCATATGATATTAAAATGTGACATAGAAATCCTGTAGGTTACTGCTGGTCTATACTTGTATTTATTACGGCATGATTGAAATTGATTGAATTGTTAGGGATTGGTTGAATTTTGTAAATTGTATGAACTATCAGAACGCTAGAAATACACAAGACTACAATAATAAATTTTATCCTTCCTACGGGATATCAGATTTATAGTTCCAGTGACAGGATCAAGGTGCTTGGTGCTGATGATCAGCAGTTCATTTTGATGCTGCCCTCCCTTAACTGGAAGGATGGGTTAGAAAAGCTACCTCTCTATACTTCCATCTTTCAGTATTGATGTGATCCGTGTCTTAGTCCAGGCATGATACAAAGAGACCTGAATCTTAAATTTCAAGGTTTTATTTATCACTGATTGATATCAGTTGACAAACCTTTGAGAACCTGAGAGCACTGGAAAGCTATTTCATTCTAGTATGAGAGACTTTTTAGCAATCCTCAACCAAGGCGCTATCTGAGATCTAACTATTACTTTAAAATCAATGAATCCCCATGCCCATACAAATTTTTTAATTGAATTGACCCAATTTCTCTTTTTGAAATATCATGAAAACAACTCCCATGTACAAGCAGCCAAGAAGTATATCATCTACCTACGCAGTATACAAATATTCATGAAGCACATAGTTATGTCTCAAACTTTGAATGCAATAGCATCACATGAAAAACTAGCACTGGCCAACTGACTGACTTATTGTCCCGAGGTTTGATGCTGTGGATAGCTGAGGGTTTTCACTGCTGAAGAGTCCAGTAATTTTAATTCCCTACTAATCCTTTGAAGATAGAAACTCTCTTCAAATTCTAATACCTATGGAGATAAGAAATAATAATTGTTTCATAGTTTTTTAATGAACAAAAAAAGACAGAAAATCGGTTACCCTTTACTTTTTTTCTTTATATCATCTAAACAATACACCACTTACCTAAACAATAACCACGGACTAATTCACTAGGTGGATAAGCAGTTAAATAACTATCGTATAGCCTTAATAAATTATCAGTGAAGTTATTAGCTCTGATGTTAAATGATCCAATACATCCGGTCAACGAAGGTTGCTGTCCAGTTTTAACTTCACTCATTGCCAAAGATGAGTCAGCATATCGACGTAATACACCCAACAGTTTTGACCAGTCATGTTCAGGTATACCACCGAAGAAGACATCAAATCGAGACAATAAATCTACGCGTAAATTTTTACCAACTAAATACTGAAGAACAGATAGACAGGGGAAATCAGTAAAAAAAAACAAATCATTGAATATTGAACAAGGAGGCTTTCATCATTATTTGTTGATATACTTGTAATTCTTCGTTGTTATACTGGATCAAAGTTGTTCTACCTATGATGACATGAGGACCCATATACAGATGCCTTCATACTGCCTGAATAGCTGTTGCTATAGGCCACTTGTTTGTGGCCAGCAGTGGTATGCAAGATGCGCGTTCCGTCGTATTTAGGACACGTCAGCTTGATGTACCTTCACCCCAGTGAGTGACGGTGTTCCCATTAAGGTTCGAACCCAGTTCCCATCACTTCAAATGCCAAAGCATCACCCACTAGGTCATTGAGCCACTGTAGCCACCTCTTTTGCAATGGATATTACTTGTTATTATTATTTGTTGATAACAATGGAGAGTTACAAGTATATCAATAAGCAGTTATAACTAATATCCCGTGTACAGGAAGTGGCTATAATGCCTCAGCGATTCAATAGGCAACGTTTTGGCGTTTGAAGCGATGTGTACGAATCTCAAATGAGTCGAAACGTCCGCCCTGAATTGCACTGCTAGCAACAACGAAGTCAACCATAAAGAAGCTTTAATTTACAAATTTATCACGATGATTGTTTGATTTTCTCTATTTGAAAATAAACAGAGTTTGTAAAATCACTCAATTATGTATAGAGCAGCACTGCTGAAGATGTTTGCACGTCAAAGAGAACATCGACCGGTCAAAGTTCAACTACAACAAGATCCGACTTGAATAACAACATTTTCATCTATAAAGTATTTTATATCTGTAAAAAAATGTTGATTAGTGTTGAAATTTGTTCTAATTACGTTTCCTTCCTAGTTTTTGAGTGGAGTAAGTCGATTGTCTTTAGTTTTTTGAATCGTTCATCGCAAACAGATATCAGAAGGAGAACCAAAGAAAAACAAAGAGAACTGTGCAGTTGTTCAGTTCTAGTCCGAGGGTTGTTCAAAGTGAATACCCATTATCCTATACTTACGTGTTGGAATGATGGCGTAGTAGGTCTCATAACAAGTATAATACAATCCAACCACATAGTTGGATAGAGAATGACCTAAGTTCTTCAACTTGAATCAACTCGTGATACACAGAACTATCATACTATGTCATAAGTGAGTGAATTTCTTCGCATCCTAAGTAGTTGACCAAATAGGTCATAGCTTCGCACTGAAACCTAGAATAATCTATCTTGTAGGGAATCACTTACATAAATACTTGAATAAGATCCATTTGGAAAGTTGTCTATTCAGATTTATCACAAAAATAAGCAGTTACCAAGGTTTTCTTCAGCAAACTGACATTTATCAAAGTGCTCCACAATGGTCACCCCCGAAGGTTGGTGTTCATACTGGAAAATAATCTATAAAATTCGGCCAGCACTCACAACCAAACAGTATGAAGCTGCTTGCTCCCTAGTGGCTAGTCAGTGCGTCTAATCCAGTCCTACAGGATTCCAAAGAGCTTTGTTATAACGTCTCTTACTGAAGTACTTGGTTATGCAGGTTCGATGCTCAGAGGGGACATCACTCCCCTCCACTTTGGAGATGTGCCATGAAGACAAGTGCCAACAGACTTGAAACCTAGATAAGACAGTACCTCCTGATGATTGCCTCCAACTAACAGTCAGTTATCATGTATATATACAGTCCACCTCAGTTTTCTCTCTTCAACATAGATCACAATTTAGGGTGAAAAGTTTTATGCATGTTTCTCGTTTTTAGGTTAAACCTACCACACCGTCTTCACACTATATTGCAGGTTTTATAGGTTTAGTTTCAGTTTACATCACACAACTATGAAGGGACTATGCGAATCCAAGGTGTAAATTAGGGGTTGAGGTCATGGATCTTAGTCGACTGGGATGACCGAGTGACCCCCTACCTCAGCGTGACATGCTGGGGCAATTTGGATTGGGTTAGAAGTGGAGGGTTCAGGGTGGCCAGACCTAGACGTGATACTAGTCGATGAAGTCTCTGACTGATGGTCTGAGTCACGTGAAAAGATGTAGACTGCAGACGATAGAAATTAGTGGATGGGGAGTGTTGGTTGAAATTTGGTCGCAGTAGCACAGATGTTTCATTCCTTGTCATCTAAGGCTTGAATGTTTGCACTAACAGTTATCTTCAAATTGTTTATTCTCTCACACAATTTCTTCTCCCTTGATATCACCCTTTTTTCCATCCACCTGTTCTTTGTGTACTGCTGTGAAGTGTGGCAATTTGAGCCAATAGGCCTATGTGTAAGGCTGTACGTTGATTTTGTCAATCAGTCAGTCAGGGAATTTGGGAGAAAGAGGGATTTCTTTAAACAAGTAGTAAAAATCTGTAATACTTTACAAGTTATGTCTCTCACATCGAAAAGAAAATATACGAATTCTATTTTATGTACTTATAGATAGCCTAAGTAAATTTCACCTCAGTGTAGTTTAATTTAGAAAATCTCACCTCGTTCGAGTAACCATCTAAATAGGCTAAAATTTCTTTGTTATATTTTCTTAGTGTAATTGCAAGACGATGCCAGTTTCCATCAGCCATATTGTCTGCACCCGGTCCACCAGTCAACTGATAAACGCCTTGTTGATCGTCTAGTGAATAAACAATATGTATACGACCGCCAAGAATTATCGCTGTGATATAAACTCGATCAGGGTTACGTATATCACGAGCCTAGAATGGTAAAGAAAAAATGAGGGAGTTTATTCAAGCACCTCTCTCTTCTAGTTGCTTATAGTCATAATGAAAAGTTAAACAGATCTAACAAACATTGCTTATTCAAATTGGTGGTTTGTGGGGATTTCTACTGATATCAAGGTGGTATTCATCGCGGTATGACTGATGTCATTTGAAGAACCATTAAAATCTGGAGACACTGAACAGCTGTTTAGTTCTAGAACGGGGCTTCTCACCAATACGTACCCATAACACCGTACGAGGTCAAACTCAGGATATTCAGGCTTCTTGATGAGCACGCTACCTTAAAGCCTTAAAGCCTACCTTTCAGTGGTCCTGCAACTGATGATATCCGATGACGAACACTTGCTGAAAAACATAGCTTAGCACTGAATGTCAAGACTCGACAGTTGAAAGTTATACAGAGGGTTGACGGCGAGCTGGTAAAACCCCCTGATCTTTGTTCTATGTGACATAATCTCGAAACATAGATTTAAGGGATACAATAGTATCTCGTGAGTGAGTGACAGATAACATAAAGCTTAGGCAAAGCGATCTGTCGCATGTTGGTCAACTTCTGATACTGAATACCCAACACAATACATCACAGTGTTGCATCACTCACTGCAGTGGTCATGGAAGAAGCCAAAATCAGCACTTATCATTTGACAAACGTATAATTTACCATTAGTGAGCATGGTTTATTTAAAAATAGAAAAAAGACGAAGCAGTGATTTTCGGCTTGCCAACTAACTCAGATTCACGAGTAAGTCAAGATTTATCATCTTCGGTAAAGTCCATTCAGCAAACCTAGTAGAAATATAGTCCCAAAAGAATAACACATCGAAATCTCAATGGATTTCTTGATATCGTGGTGGAATGAAAGAAGCGAAGAACTACGAAAGTGCTTTGCCAGAGTAAATTCACTAATAAGAGTTTCTAAATGGTCTGATATGAACCAACAGAACTGGAGATCATGCAGTAAAGTCAAGTGTAATCTTTAAGGTGAATAATAAACAGGTTGAAAGGAATTCTACAGTTGAACACCCATTCTGAGCATGACCACTTAACAGAGTCACTCTCAAAGAATGCAATAAACAAAACCACCGACCACAACATACCACCTTCTCATCATGCCTCAGCATCTTTAGTAATCCACACAGAAATTGGTTATTCCTTTTCCAACTGGATGTTACTCACGTATTATGTATACTACCTTCTATTATTCAGTAGTATGAGGTTGTTCTCAAAAATGTTATAGGGCTTAAACTAACACCTATCTTGGAACTGAGCCGAATTTCCTTCCCAACTACCTAGTTGCCTTTCTCATCGTAGGTTGGTTTATCATTTTCAGCCTTAATAAGAGAAAATTGTGGTTAATGAGAAAAATGAAAGTCATCACATCTCTTAGGTTGATTTACAAGAGCGATAGAATCACATGAGAAGGCGAACAAAATTCAGTGAACTTACCCGGAACAATATTCCGTCATAATTAGTTTTGAATTCAATTAACCAAGTATCACCTCCATTTTTCATTTCAATCGGTCGATCCAGATGCGCATAGATAAGACCAGACTTGCAAGTTATGGCATATGTATGTTCCCTAGGCCATACTGGGAATGTGTGTCTGATAGCCGGAGGATTCAATAAATGTGCTGTATACTTGGTTGGGAAGACTTTGGTCCCAATTAAATCATACTGATTCCAAAAGAAATTTCTAAATTCACCAACAAATCTTGGTCCTGGTGGTAGCATTGTTTTCTTGGTTGCAGGATCCTGGTAATAACCAAAATTCGGTGGTCCAGCACTGCCTAAATAGATCTGTTGTGCAATCAACTGGAATGTATCATGAGGATCTAGTAAAGGTATTTTCCCTTTTAAGAGAAAAAAAGTAGAAAAGAAACAGGTGGTTAATAGTCTTTGGACCATAGATATTTTAAGTGCAAACTGAATACTGTCTGGTTGGATTTAGCAATCTAGTGGGATAATGAAGAAGTATCAAACGTAAATGTTGCATTAAGCCCAACGCTTGGTATCACCGACAATTCTTTTGCATTTTGTGTTTTTTGTAACAGAAACAATGTCTGCTACTTATTTTAAGCTAGTAGCTAAGAACATGATATGAAATAAATGGACATTTTGCAAAACTGTTGCAACATAAAAAATGCAAATGGACACCAGTAAGTCTTAAAATGAACTGTTTGAAATATTTATCAAGACCATGACAAGACAGAATTGAAACTGTCTATTCAGAGAATGCGAGAAAAAGTAAAGTGCAATGCGTAGTAAACCTTTCTAAAGGGTTTGTTAAACGGAAACATCATGGGTCGACTTCATGGAAAGTGTAGAGCACTGGATGGCTGTTTCGTCATCAGTTAGGACTCCTCAGAGGTGCACACCCTACAAAACATCAAAACCACAAGCATAAAGTTTCACGGTGAACATATCACTTGCCGCCTAATATGTTCAGGTGGAATGATCCATTATCTTCATACTTCTATCGATCTGTAATATGGCACTATAATGACCCATTGTCACAGATAGGCATCCACTAGCATTATCGACCTTATTTTCCCCAGTCTTTAGTTAGCACCAGTCAATAGTAGATAACCACTTCTAATTCCACTAGTCCTGCATCAAACACCAAATCAAGACATTTTCATCATTGTAAACAATTCACCAGACTAATGAAACATTTTTTTTTGTGAGACAAGTTCTTTATTAACGCCAACTAACCTTTTGCTCAGAATAAGTGTACAGAACAAGAAGGTATCCAATTTTTAGACAGAACATTATAAGAAACATTTTTTTCTGATAGGTAGATTAAAGCTTTAGTTGGATGGAGGCAATCAGTAGAAAGCTCTAATGACTACCGTAGGGCAGGAGAAAAACCCTGAATAGGTCCTCTTTTCAGTGTTGGCATTGGTATAGTTTTTTAAGTTTTCCACTTTGAAATCAATAAGTCTTTACCTAATATTCAGTGTCACTCAGTTGATGTCCTTTTCAAAGTCTGAAAACATTCTACAAGGACTCATACAAATAATTTAGAGAGGATGGGGGATAACTTGGAGGCTAATTTCTATACATGTCAGAGTCTAGATTGTCTATTTTCTAATAGTCACACTGATGAATATCGTAGCTATATAGGTGCCTACTTTAGGCAGAAATAAAGTTGTTGAAAGCTTCGATAATTTTCTAAATATCACTAAGAAGTATATCTACCGTAACGTCTTTAAAATTCTATAAGAAAGAGTAGAAAGAAAAAACTGTATCCTTATTGGCGCGTTCAAGGTCATATGATGATCACCGAAGGACGTCAAAACCCTATTTTTCCACCGTAGCAAATAATAAAGTCCTGAGTATTAAAGTCCGCCTGTTTTACAGTTGTTGGTTGGATTTACCTGGATCCAAGTGAGCGTTTTTACTGTGATTCAAAACTACAGATATCACTTTAAACATCCCAGTACGACTCATCAAGCTACTGAATTAAAGTATTTCCTCACCTCTAACCCTCTTCCGTTATTGATTTACTAGGCTTTATACAAAGCATACATCACTGGGTATCACTGATATCGCTGACAAATCCTAGGTTCTCAGTAGTGTTACCAGTAAGATAACTGATGTGACACTGAAATGAACTTAGTTTCGATGTTAGATGTTAGGAGTCATACATCAGAAAGACTCTAATGAGGTAAAAATGGCACTTCACCTTCTGCCAAGTATTCCATACACCTACTGAAGATACATCCAGCTGATGGATCCCAAGTAAAATCCACCCTGTTTATCAATATAAACATAGAAAAAGTAGGAACTTGAAAACATATACTACACATGGTGACGGTAAATACCCAAAGTGATTAGCCATCCCGAATCAATAAATCGATTATTTGAGTTTACAAACTGTCAATCCTTCAATAATGATTTTAATGATAGTTTGTGAAGCAAAATAATGATAGTAATTATACTGTAGAAAAATTTTGTTAACTAATTTGAAAACAACTTGAGTGCAGTCAGTTTTGTGTTAGAATGGTGATTTTGGAAGTTTTTAAACACTTATGCAAATAAAAAGAATATCTAGAAGAGTAAAACACTTGCTTGCTAAAAACTGTTGCTGATTGTTGGATTACAGAACTGAAATGGTGCTTAGAGTAACCAGACAAAAGAAATCCAACATGTTTAATGTTCCACGACAGATTAGACAGACAATTCCATGTAAGGCATTCATCGGGATTCCATGTTTCAGATGAGTTAGTGGTAGGTCGCTGGTTCGAACGCAACCCCATACAATAGGTGTGGCTTATTACTTACTATGTGAAAGTGTACAAACCTGTTGATAAGATTTTGATTCTGTTTTTTGACGACTTAATGTAAAGGGTGATCAACTGTTTTTGAAGGGTCGTCAAGATCAGAGGACTGTTTAAAAATCGAGGCTAGGATACAGTATCTCCATGAATATATTTGCCATTTCTATGTGTATTTACAGGTTCAGCTACTTCTATGGAGAAAGCTGTATAGAGCATACTGTTAGATAGCTTAATAGACGTGTTACTGAGCCTCTACTATAATGGTTTGGAGGGGGAGATAAAATCCATAAAAGACTCTATTTTATTTCATCTGCCTGATTTTCGTAGCTTCGCACATACGAACGATGCTCTCAAGATTATCTTTAGCATCTCAGTTAATCTACCGAAACGGATTCGAACTCGCCTCTTGCATACAGTAGAAGCTGTGGAAAACTGGGCCAATAATCCTAGCCCTTGTATTCAGATGAAGCTTGTGTAGCCTTTATCTCTGTCTTTCTTGGCTAGGGAATACTAAGTAAACAACTTCATCATTAAGTTTTTGTCTCTTTCTTTACCTCTTCCATATAGTTAATGTTTTCTTTAGACTTCGTTTTTCCACCAACTTTGTCTCCAGTTAGCCTTTGACCCATTTTGATTAACAGGGGCGTCTGCACTATCATACTGTATCTCTTAATTCTTATCATCATTGTCATCTGCGTAGCAACTGTTTTAGGCAGAATTATAATTGACACGGGGTAACGAGTAAAGGGGAAATGAAAGTTCAATTTACGGTCAAGATTTCCATTTCAACTTCAGTCATCATCGAGGACCGACTATATCTGTTAGAAAATATTCAGAGAAAGTACTTGCAATATACTAGAGGACACAGTAGACAAATACGTCAATGTTCGATCAGTACACACTTGTAATCAAGTATCAGAAAAGAAACCAGTCAACTCTTTCTCTCTCAGATAATTAGGATGACTGTATCGAGGAACCAGTTCTCAAACTCATGAGAAATTATCATAACAGACGAAGTCTTCTGCCTACTTAACTGAAATCCTACTTAAACCCTTCAAGATTCACTGTCAATTCTCAGTGTTTTTTGAGTTGTTTACTTATTTGTCTCTAACCGAATCCAAATGATCTGTTGCTGCTTCGAATCCTGCCAAAAACTGAGTTTTCATTTTACTATTAGTTACCAGCTGTATCAATAATGTCAGTTTATGAAAGCATCGCTATGTCACATAGTCTCACCAACAACCAATCCAACTATCCCTCCTCATGGTCAAGCTCGATTTGAATTGGAATAAGAATAGATGGCAGCTAGTGGGATTACAGCGAACGGAGAGTGATATATCATGGATTGATATGACTGCTGTTTTGGAAGTTAGGTACCGTAGTTCAATTGGCTGGGGACTGGGTCAGTAATCTAAGGATCACTGGTTCGAATCCGGTTGTGACACATATTTTCACTTCACCTTCAATCATTATTCGTAATTCTAGAAGATATATCTTTATAAAAAGAGTCTGTTTTCGACAGATTTCCAGACTCACACACAAACACAAATAGCAACAAACAAACACTGTGTCTACCGTTTTAGCGAAAAACACAACAACTCTAGCAACGAAAAGAACACACGCGTGTGAAGTAGATTAGAAAACATTCGAATAATCACACACACACACACACACACACAAGCGCACACACATTAAAATTATGACAAACTAAAGTTAAGAGGTGATGATTTTACAGAAGGTGCAAATTGCCTAGCTAATTCATAAACTACTGCCGCTCACAGATATTGAATCGTTCTGTAAAAAAGGTCAAATGTAGGTTAAGGTTGTTTGTCTTAAGTGTAAAGTATCGGGGGAAGGAATAAGTTACAACATTAATAAAATAAAAACAACCTTGGTATTCACCGTAAAAAATTAATGATCATGTTAAAATAAAGGGAATGTTGCATTCCATAGAAGGTTACACGGAATGATTGTATGTGTGTGCGAATTTGACGAAATGGTTGGAGAGCTACGATAAAAGTTTTTCACAAAAATGTCTTTTTACACTTAATAATAGGACATTAACAGTGTTATTCCTTGTACACCTTGATAAACAAATCTGGACGTCCCGCTGTCATCCTAGATAACTTTATCAGCAAAAGCTTTGTGATCATTTTGTCTTTGTCTTACTGGAGAAAACGTTCGAGATGCGAAGAAAAGCGCTTATACATTTGTTAGAAGTATAGTTACATATGATTAGTAAAGATCAGATTGATACTTTATCGGAAAAATATATAAATCTGCGGTATGATGACTAGTGTATCAACATAACGTCCACCAGTTGAATTGTCAACCCATATCCCATCATCAAGTGATAAGCATTTTCTCTTATCAATTCTGAGATGGATTAACATATGTTACAGACAATATACATTTTTACAAGAAAGAAAAAAGGCGTATTCTACCCCGCAAAAAGGTAATATCTACAAGTAGTTATAATAATCGGGTGTTCATACCACCACATGTTATTAAAATCAATGACTTCTACGTCATCTTCCTACCTCTGAGAGGAGTTTCAATCAACAGGGAACCTGTAAACATTTGTAAAGAAAAGTAGAAAATAGCCTTAGATACTCATTAATTAGCTATCCATCTATCATAGTTGGAATTTCCTATATCCATGTATATATGTATGTACGCATGTATGTATGTGTGTATGCATGTATGTGTGTGTGTGCAAACAGGTTTTTTATTTGATCAATTGATTCACGGACATAACTTGTAATTTCTCACCATTGGTCGGAGCGAATTCATCGCTACTACTGGAATATAGGCTCCTAGGCGAATATTTATAATGGATAGTGGCTAACGGTGAATTCCAAGACGCATGTTCCACCCTATTTGGGATTCGTCAGTTGAATCTACTTGCCTACCACCAAGTGATGTTGTTCTTACTGAGACTTCAGCCCAGTATCAGTCTTTTCGAATGCCAGTTATCCAGAAGGCTAGTGTCTCATGATAGCCACTCCTTATGTGACAGGTATGGTATTCATTTGATGCTATAGCATGTAATTTCTTGTTGTTGATTGGACCTAATCGATGAACCGCCAATGGTATATCCGCTGGTTTGTGGATACCTTGATACCGTCAGAATTTTCAGTTTTATATTGACGTTTGAAATAACCGGTTCTTCATTCAAGTCCTGGTGGGAACAACATTACTCGCTAAGAGGCAGGTATATCCAGCTGACCACTCTCAAATAAGCTGGAATGTGCCTGCTGTATTCTACTCCAATCCATTATCCATCAGTAATATCCCGCTAGATGTTAAAACTACTCAAGAATTCTGATTGCTAGAGTTCGAAGATCAATGTAAGTGGATTGATGCTGCATTGGAAATTTGATTCTAGGTCAATCAGCATCACAGTTGGGGAATTGAAACCCTTTGAAAATAGGTAATGCTTCGTTTGTCCATTAACCGATCACTATATAGTCGATGTTTTTATTTTTTCCTAATCTAAGAGGTTAACTTAATTCCGTCGATTAAATTCTATCACACAACTACCGCAAAGTCAACTAACTCAATAATATGGCGCAGGTTAGATAACCGAAGGAAGTTGTATTCTTACACTGTGATACTTTATCAGAAGATCACCTCCACTAATTTGAAGAACTGAACTATTTTTATTCTTGACTAAAAGTTCTGACAGTATAATGCTGAATTGTATTGCTTAGATTGATGTTAAGAGATTTAGGAACTAGCCAACCAACCAGGAACCTATCACCCAACAAATATTTAGAAGAAAGTGGAGATGGATTGGGCATACACTGAGAAGGCCAACTGGGGACATCATGTGCCAGACCAGGCCCTCGAGTGGAACGCAGATAGGAAACGATGAGTTGGTCATCCCAACTGAGGGCGACATGGAGGAGATCATTTGAGGAAGAAATGAAAGCTTGTTGGTAGTCTTGGCACCAGGTTCAAAAGACTGTAGAGAACAGAGTGAAATGGAGGCGTGCTACTGAAGCCCTATGTTTCATTAGAAACCCAAGGGATAAATAATATGATAATAATAGTAATAATTATATATATATATATATATATATATATATATATATATATATATATATATATGACAATTTAAAAGGTTTCTTGTTATAATGAAATAAACAAAAATAGAAAAAGGTTTCATTTATTCACCGAACTATTCTATACAACTTCAAGCACAGTAGCAGTCTCAAGAAAAGGTGGTGAATAATACATTGATTTATGTACTTCCCTTAAAGTAGACTGATAACTACTTGTGAATTCATGTACTTCTTATCTTTCAACACAGGCATAAACATCAAATCAGTCTTGTAAATACCATTTGTATATAGAATTAGCTATTTAAGGCTGTTGAAAATTAACCATTCAAATACAGCCTAAATGTATTTATATAAGAAGTGAATACATTGCTGACAGTACAATTTACATTGAAATAGAATAAAAAATTAAGTTTGTAAACCAATATGCATAAAATGGTATTCGTCATGAATTGAAATCAGTTAAAGAACTACAGAAAATGTAGGAGGAATATCTATTGCTGATTGTTGGTATACTTCATGATGGAATTCTTGAATTTGTAAATGGCGTATGGGGTCGACTAATATTGGAGTCAAGCAGATGCCGATTGATTAAACTGGATGATGGTTGGGATATATTGTGAAGTGACCAAAGTAGAAAAATGTGGATGTTTGATACTCAAACCAATGGCTCACTGTGACATCTGAAGGTGTCAGGTTCTATCCATAGCAAGTTTATCAATGCCTGCTGTCGATGACTTCAATACTAGAATGAAATACCTGTCTAGTACTTTTTAGTTATCAATGGTTCTTACAAATGATGTCAGTTCGTGATGAATATCACCTTGGAATAAACCCATAGCGATTAAAATGAAATAAAAATTTGATCCACAGTCAGACCTTGTAGCTCAGTTGGTAGAGCGTCGGGACGCAAAGCCGGTGGTAGCTCTTTCGAATGCGGCCGCGGTCTAAATTTTTATTTCACCTTCAATCATCATTCAGTATAAATCACTCAGTATCAACAAATCTCCAAATTGAAATGTTTTATCTTGGTTATCTTTTTGCATGTTAGTGAACAGTTTATTTCATTAATGAATGTTGTATTGTTGGACAAATCCACAAATTTAGCTGACTAACGATTTAATCTTTTGACAATCATTCAGTTAGATTTTAAGTATATTCACTGTTATATCATATTGGCTGAACAGTATCAAACGTTGTCAGTTAAGAGTTCAGTTATCTGGACCTCATCTTAGCGTTTCTGCTGAGGCAAAAAAAACATTCTAAGGCATTTCATATATTATTATTGACCGGATCATATTTAGAACAGAATTTATGCTCATATAAGCGATAAATTTCAAATAAGCAGTCTAAAATGCATTTAGACTTTACCTTAGTGCCCAAGTTTTTCTTTTAACTTTACATCTTAAATCACCTGGTTTGTTTGCCTTATCCAGTATACTCTGTATAGATCGTTTATATCGTAAGACATCAATCCTGACAAATGTATGCGATAGTCTATCGATAAGATGTTCTGCAGTGTGATAGAGTAAAGGTTACTCGATAACGTTTCACAACTTACTTTCTGTGCAATGACCACGATTTATTTGACAAAATACTTATCTTGTTCACTTTTTACCTTGTTTTATATCTCTGAAGTAGGTATTCAACTGTTTTCCATTTATGTAGCCCATGTTGAGTCACTCAGAAAATTAAATTAACGAATTACTGCAGCTCTCTCTAGTATACGTTTTAATGTATTAAGTAAGAAGCTACACTTATTATGTAACAGCTTAGGTGGTTATGCAGAAGTAGGTTTCGAAATAAAGACTCTGCTTGAAAGTAGAGTGTTGAAATTGAAAATCTTTGTCAGCGTAAACGATCCTTAATCGATGTCTTTTTCCAAATATCCACGTTTATTCGTATGCCTGACTTTACTTTGGATAAAATCATCTATAATCTAGCCAAGTCTATATGTTGTAATAGTTAAGATGAGGGCTTAAACGGGGAGGGGGGAGAGTAGTGAACAGATTACTCAGATCACTCAGCAGATAAAATGAAGTTGATGTAATAATTATTCTAAATGTACAAAAATCCCGCCTATAATTTTTAAACCTGTTTTTAAGGAATCAGTATTTCAGTGTTAAATGATCATTGGGATAAACCTATGAGCAAGAGATTTGGCTCACTAACCAACATGCATTTCGACAACTGACATAATTATAAAATCGTAGCATAAGAGTTTCTGGATACAATTGTTGCACTGAGTCAGTACTTCGGTTGAAAGTAAGTGTTTCAGTGCCACACAAGATATCTTTGTCACAAAAGTGACTTCACAAAGAGGTGAAATAAGCTTACTTTGTATTGGTATAGATAACCAATGAGTCTACGTTAATCATTCAACTGTGCAAACATGATTTCTACTAATAAACACCTTAGAAAATATCAATCACTAACTGACTGACTAGCTTACCGGTTACAGACGCTCTGTCAACAGATATGACTATGTGGTCTGCCCGACGAGCAATATGTAGCGTGTGCCACTGATTGTTGTTCAGCATAGCACTTGGTAGAGAGAATTCCTAAGAAAGGAAAAGAAATAAAGAATTATTAATTAATCCTGGAAGATTCTACGCTGAAAAAGTAAATCTTGAATACAAGTGATGTATAAAGATCTTATCGTCCCACTGAAATCGAAAACAAATTGTAATTTCCCCATGGTTATAATGGATCGAATTTATCAACCTCTGTCGGTGCAAGCATATCCAGCTAACGAGTTCCAAATAAGATAAAACGCGCACCTTAAATTGCAAAACTAGCCACAATCAAGCGAATAATAACGTCGTACTTGTCAATATCCTTGTAGAATACTCGTTAATTGACAATTCTGTGCTGAAAACTGAAGTCGCTTTTCGCCCAGAGGTATTCATTGACGTTTGATGTCAAGGGAACAATTAATAACGACTACCAAGCAGTGTGTGAACGTGCTGTCTTCTTGATATGCAGACATTTTAACAGCATTCTTCTCCAGGTTGAAGTCAACATCATTCGTTTTCATGAAAAAGCTATCTCACTTCTATGCCTGAGTTGAATTCTAGTAATTAGAATTGCATATAATTACGTGGTTGACTTTATTTTTGACAGTTATGATTCCTGTCATGACATCATTTTTAGCAGCCTCACCCTTTGTGTTTGTTCAAATTGAGACCAGGCAAAAGCTTTACCGTATCTCATTCTATTAGAAATCTTAGTATAACAATGGAGTATTCATCTTCAATATGTGTAGTATCTTAGCCTACCACTATCCTTTACTTTGGCTTTGGAATGATACTATCAGCACAAAAAGGAACACGCATTTCGGAAAATTGAACTGCAGTTGAATATTGCTTGAAAGACATTATACGCTTGAAAGCCTGCAGTACCAGCTATCTCATTTCGAAAGACGTTTTCTAAACATTTGTACAAGGTGAGAGGGCAGTAGAGACCAGAAAGCATTAAAAAATAGGTTCTGTGTGATTCGAGACTTGTCAGACCCTGAACGCTTTGACATGAAGTCTGGAATGTCGAGGTCACAGAGCGCTAACCCTAGTAATGTGCTCACTGTGAGATTCAGAAGTAGGAAACTGCTGACCATTGAGTGACTTACTTATTGTGAAACCTGATGGGTGTGGACCCTCTTCAAGGGTCCCGAACAACAGGAAAAAACTTTTGGTACCCTAGAGATTCTCGCCTACTCTTCAATTACCGTTTGCTTGTGATGCACAAACAATCACTCACGTTAAAAGAACAACACAGTTCCCAGCAGCATTAACTTCTTACCTCATAGGCATGTGGTTTCCCCTTGTGATTAATATTCGTTTGAATACGTATCTGTCCATCTACTAAGTCCACACGAAAATATGATTTATCTGCACGTGATACGGAATAGAACAAAGGTAAATAACTAGCATGTCCTGATATCGGTGTATCCGTCTTGAACTGTAAACTGATGTCATCTGTGTGTGTAATCAATTTATTGATTTGTTGTTCAAAATCAACCACATATACCATATCACCATCCATTTCGAGAATTGGAGCATCTGATTCACAAAAGTAATCGAGAAAAGATGATTAAACAAGCAAAATTGATGAATTATATAATACTCGGTTTTTTCGGAAGTCAGCTGTAACAGGTAAGCATCAAGGTTTGATTAAATAAAACTATTTTGAGGTTATCAGTAACTTATGTCAAGATGAAGTGTCCGAAATTCGGATAAAAAGAATCGTGACCTATGGGGTTGACCAACCTAGAAATGAGGATGTATGCAAGTTGATGTCAGAGGATAATGGTCGCAGTACATTACGAAGTGATAGGAGTTAGAAACTTGAACCGTTGGATACCAACCCATTAAATGAATGATAACAGCAGTCAGCCAGTCAATATCAACATCGGACCTGGCATAACAGTTCAAGTTGACACACTTCATATCACCACATCGAAGTAAGAATGCATTAGGATCAAAAATAAAGAAAGGAAGAAATCAGTCAGCAGTGCTGGAAAGTCGTGAAAGGAGAGCAAGGAAAAATGAGATGATACTGAAATTCAGTATTAGGAAGTGGCCAAAAATAAAAGTCGTCAAAATCATTCCCCGTTGGGGTAGAAATATTTTCGTTTCAGACCTTCATTTATGTCCATCCGATTGCTTATCTAGTGGGTTCATTTTCTGTACATAAATACTGTTTTTTGTAAAATAAAATCGTCTTCCTTTAGTCAGTCACCGGCCCGTCTTTTGTCCTCTCGTTGCGTTATTATCTCATTTACTTATTATTAGGATCCACGTCCTACCCCGATACACAGTCACATCATTCAGTATGACGATTAAGATGAATATAATGTATGAATACGTCTGCCCCAATGTAAACGATTCTGAACAATACCACCTGAGTTCTAGAACCAGCGCTTTCGGTTGTCACGTAGACCATAATTGGGAGATTCATATTTCCTTACACAGCTCAGACTAACAATCAAAAGCTTCATGGACTGAAGTTGCTCTTGATTTTGGTACCCTGTAACGTTTTTCCAACCTGAACCTACTTCAGTCAGTATTACACGACGAGGTAGACGGTAACTATATGTAATTAACACATGTCCCAGCCGTCTCAGTTGATGAAGGTTGACAGCACCATCAACTCACTTCCCTTTTGTTCCTAAAACGCTTCATATGACATCCACGTTACTAACGTAGTGGCGCCACGACGCATGGCCCATTCAACGAAGATAACGGCGATGGAACACATGAAAGTTCTAAATTACCCATGCCTTTAGTGGGCATGTTTCTCAGCTATATAATCGAAAAGGGAGGTCTGGAGAGCAGTACACTTGACTCCTAATCCCCAACCGAGTATCACACACGCGCCATAAATAGCGTAAGTTGACGCATCCCGATTGAACTTCTCGTATCCATGCAGAGTTTTTACTGGTCACTGAATGACTGGTAACATGCTCACCACCAGACATCAACTTCGCAAGACTTTATGTGGATGTGCTGTTGAGATTTTCTTAACTAGGATGATGCAGTTATCCAATGCGCCCAAACTTTCACTGTTTCTTCAGATAATGCCAATCCATTATGATGACCATGCAGAAATCAATCGGTTTTTTCAGAAACCACCCAAAGGTGTTTCTGGCTTTAGTTTGGTTAGAGTTGAGGTTGAAGCTTGGCCTCTTATGAAATGAAACTTTTAACTTCTAGGTAGTTATGGTAAGTACTCACTTTTACTGTGCGAACACGGTTCTTACGTATCCGTCTTCATCTGTCTCGACATACTTTCGAGAAAACCAAGCAGGTTTCAGACCTGAACGAGACTGCATCGATCAGATTTTTACCCTGCGACAGGTTTTGGAGAAAAAGTATGCCTACCGGCTGGTAACGCTTACCATATTTCCTGATCTGAAGGCGGTATTCGACTCTGTCGACTGTGAAGTGCTGTGGCAGCATATGACTGTAAAGGGAGTACCAAGCAAGTATATAACTCTGACCAAAGATATCTACTGGGACTCAAGTAGCTATGTCAGCAATTATAGAGAGTTATCATATGAGTTGACGACAACCACTGGTGTCTGTCATGGATGCCCACTGTCGCTGTTCCTAGTTAACTTCGTTATAGACGTACTAAGGGACATAACTTTGGTACGTCTGACTTCACACGGACTGGTCTACTCCTTGAAGATCATCTGGTTGACTTGGAGTATGCAGAAAATATTGTTCTGCTGCATGAGCACGCCGACAAAATGAAGGGTCTTCCTAACTAAAAGGATTCAGCAGAAATCTGAGCATGTTTGACATGCGTTTTGCACTTGTGAAGTATAAGGTGATGCCCCAGGACTGGTCTACAACTGCCTCCAGCTTAATGATGGGGAGTGGAGTGATGGAATATACCGACCGCTTCACTTACTTGAGAAGTTGCATCAACTCAAAAGGTCTCCGCTTGGGTATACAAGGTCTGTTTGACATTTGCCGAATTGTGTCATCTATGGAGTCGACTGGCGAGACTATCTAATAAAAGGTGAGTATACTGCGTTGTAATCTGCTCTATCATCCTATACGGCTGTGAGACACGGTTGTCGAAAGTAGAAGATATAAAGCGACTGAAGGGTTATATCACAGGCGTCTTTGCAGTATAACTTCTGTTTGAAGAATCACCGTATGAGCAATGTCAAGGTCAGACGAAGGCTACTGAGCAAGACAGTCAAGATGGTTGATGAGGTTGTACACCCTCATCCACTGAGAAAGCTTGGAAATGTACTGTGCATGTCGAACTACCGCCTACCTCCATCTGTCATGCTAGGAGAAGTTGGATTAAATTGGAAGAGTTTACAGTATGGCCAGACTAAGACCTAGCTCCAGTCGATGAAGTCTCTGACTGTTGATCTTATCTGTGTTGTTAGATGTAGACTGTCTACCTGGGGTCTGCAAGACGAAATCGGTGGTTGAGGGACTCTTAGTGAAATGTCTGAAATTTGGCCACAGAGGATCAAATGTATTCACTCTTTGGCGTCTTCTAAAGCTTGTATACTTCAGCTTACCATTATCTTTAAATTGTTTATTCTACCACACAACTTTGTCTATTTTGATATCAGTCTCTTTTTCTATCCACCTGTTCTTTGTATAATACCATGAAGTGTAACAACTTGAACGGATCCGCCTGTGTGCAAGGTTCCACCTTTATTTTGTTTGCCTGTCTGACATAATTTCGATTTAGTACAAATTTTATGCTTTCAAGCTAAACACCTCAAGACAGTAGAAGTCGATAGCTGATTGAGAAGTGTTTTTGCCTTTCTATATTTTCATCCTACTTTTAGATACACTTAGTGTTTCGAATTACTGAAAATCTAGAAATAATTCTTGCTATTTGAAATGAAAGTTCGGACAGCAACCAAATCCCAACCATCGACCATCGGTTTTCCTACCCGATGCTCTACCAACTGAGCTACGAGGCCCAACTACTGATTAGATTTTTATTTCACTTTGATCACCAAGGGTTTTACCTAACTACCATGTGAATTCGTGATCCGTTACAACCGCTTAATTGTATTCACACCAGGTGCCCTTAAGTCAGGACTTCTCATCCAAATCAAATCTAACTGAATTAGAGAAGGGGAGCATCATATTGATTATCATTTCGACCATTAGAGATAACGGTGCTTTGGCACACTAGTACTGATAGTAAGTGATGACTAAGGGTGAAATGAAAATTTGGACGGCAGCTAGATTCCAACCAACGACTGCTTGACTGGCCACCCAAAGTGAATACGTCAAGCCGTAGTAACGCATCACGAATTCATGTGGTAGTCGGGCAAAAGCCTTGAGGGGAAATCAAAATCTGATTAGCAGTCGGTCCTTTTAGCTCAGTTGGTAGGTCACTGTGCAGGAAGTTTGGTTCGAATCCAGCCGCGGTCCAGTTTTTCATTTCAACTTCAATCATCAGCCAGTATAAATAATAGTCTGTGAAATGATGACTATCTCAGATAGTCAAAGTGATATTTTTTATTATTTCCAGCTTGGCAAAGGAACGATTTATAAATGAAGTTTGTCTCAGCTATATTGTAAACCTTTTAATAAAGTGACTAACTTATCAACGAAAAACCTTAAAGAATTGTTATCAAGGTTACCTCGATGACACCCTACAGATCGACGAATATCCATTGTTTTCTCTGGGAATGTTTTATCCGATTCACTGCAATCACAGGCAAAATTCAATTCTTCCAAGAATGGATATGAACGTCTAGAGCATCGACCACCACCACAGATTTTATCGTTACAGCGTTGTTTAGGCACTTCACATTGTCCTAATCGAATGCCTCGACCAATATCTGTATGCTGAATCATACGTCTAAGAGGAAACAATAACATGGTAGGATATATATGCATGTATAAGGAGTTGCTGGTAATTATAGCAGATTAAGTTTGATGAAGATGAATATTCGGCATTTTACACTTTATCAGTAAAAAATATTGTTAATTAGTGATGTAACGTGGTTGTATACTTGGAGACACTTGAGCAATAACCTTCAGATCCCACCGCTGATGGTCACTCATTTCCTCAGAAGACAGAAAAAGTAGTAAGTCCAATGAAGGTTCACTTCAAAGTCAATTATGTCCAAGTACAACAGTTTATTTATATTGATAACCACCCTGATTATTTACAGACTATTCTAGAAACAAATACTAAATTGCGTCAGTTCATGATATAGCACGACTATCATCCAAAGTCTTCAGATGGCATCCGCTTCCTTTCCGACTGACTTCTAATTAGAACTTCGTGACATCCATCTAGAAGTATTCTCTAATGAACACTATACAGTAATGTATTTTGAGGTTGATAGGGGATTTTAACTTTGAGGTAGTATTCATAGTCGCGCTGTATCGCGAATTGACAGAAGTTGAAAATTGTAAAACATTGAACTAAGATCCAGTGGCTGAATGGTTCATGCGCCCCCCGAAGAACCTGTAGGTCCTCAGTTCAATCCCTAACTCGGTCATGAATGCGTACTACTGATGAGCTACGCACTAGGACAAAACATCTGTCCAGTGCTCCCACGTGGTTCTCATTGGTTTCCTGACTGGTCTATGTCCTTGATTAATACAACCTCGAATACTATATTGATTTTACCTCTTCAACCAGTCAAGAAACTTTGGGGTAAAATGGTCGGTTGTTGAAGGCTTCCGAGGCTCCAGGGTTGTTCCTAAGTATAAAAACAATCTTATTGCACGCCATATCAAATACAAAGGAAATAAATGCTAGTCTATATATTCGAGGAAAGTTAGCTTTCTGCGACATTTCTGGTACACCTTATTGATGACCGCCAACAGGTGTGAAATTAAAATGAAGAGCTTTCTGTTGACAGCTTCTGATTGGCAACTAACAAATAAAATGTGTATTTGGTTTCTACAGTAGTTATTCAGAAGGTTATATTCAGAATCCCTGCTTAAACTGCATGTACATAGGTGGAAACACAAAATAAAATAGTAAATTTAGCATTATTTAATCTAATCCTGCCGTGACCACCCATTTTCCTTCAACCTCCATCATCATTGAGTGAACACAAACTCCTGGTATACTACATTGCTTGATGAGGCTTTTGTATCAAACATCACAATTTATCTTGGATTGGTATTGGTCAGTGGAAACTCCGTCGACACAACAGCCAACTAGTTGAAAAACTACTTACATGTGGCCATTATAACCATGAAGCATGCAAGTTTTCAATGATTTGTAATGTTTTCATCCAAGTTGAGTAGCTAGATTCATTTTATCTGAACGATAGGTTTAACAGCTCGCGTTAGCTAAATCAGTGAGTAGGGGTCTAAGCAGCGTTAGTGGTTTCAGCTACTCATATTTTTGTCAGTAGTATGTTGTATGAGTCAGCAAAGATGTAAGAGAAAATTTAATCTTGACCGAGTTTTGAAAACTTGGGAAAGACTCAGGAAGAAAATGATGAATGTGCCTAAAAGAAGTGTTGAAATCGAAAATTTAGAGTATAAATCCATATCATTTAAGATACCTGATATTCTTTTAAAGGGAGTAAGGTGGCACCCAGCAAATATTTGATTTCAGATATGATACTGTATTTTACAAAATGGTAATTTGATCAAACTCATTAAGATGTTCCACCTTACACTAAGGCTATCTAAGACTGTCAATTAAGGGATTCACTATAGAAGCATTAAACATAGCTATTCAAGACGGCGGCAGGTTATGGTTAATGTTAATCGGTCGGTTTGAGGGTGAACTGAAAGGCAATCCTAACAACTGGTGAGATAACCAATTACGTTTCTCCATTTTTCGGAAAATTGAGTTCACAGCCCGAAATACTGAAAAGTGATTGGTTATTTCAGCATATGTTCAAGTGGCTTTTAAAGCCTCTGTTTGGTTAGGATGGCCTTTAAATTCGCTCATACTGTGACTATGTTAATGCTAATAGAGATATTTAATGGTGTGTGGCTGAGAATGAGTGAACTGTTTGGTTGAACTGCCTGAAATGTACCAATTGCAGTCAGAAATCGTTCTTTCTCTGCATCATCCTAGAGTTCTAATTTACCGGTGCCGACTGGTTTAATTTATATTTCATTTAAGGAAATAGTACAACCGGTTGGAGGTAGTGGACGGTGATTCAAACTGTCAGTTTTCAATTACACTTGATTCTTTTCTCAGAGGATTGTTTTCTGTACACTCTGCTGAGTAACATTGAACAGTGCAATTGTGAAAATTACTAATAAAACCGTAAACTTAATAATTTGAGGATCATAATTGCCTTGGTGCATGGGGACATACAACAAAATTCTCCACATCTATTCTTTCTTGTCGAATATACGTCAGTTTGTTTTATCTCATGAAACAGTGAGATCCTGCAGCATTAGCCTGAAAGCAGATGGGTAAGATGAAACGCATTTGTAAGCTAATGTACCTTGTGGGTTAATTAGGTGGTTGTGTAACACTTTCGACTCTAGGGTCCCAAACTGATTAACCAAGAGAAATAATTCTTTGCTTTCCTGGCTACTCCTGTAAACCGTTTTGGATGCATCAAAAGTGGTGCGACTAGGATGACGGGATCTTGTGAAAGACGCATTCACTGATTACAATCATTAATCTAAAATCAAGTGCATAACTTATATAGTTGTCTGGTCTTTAGTGAACGACGGTGCACTGTATTTTGGTATTAGGTACTAACATTAAAAGAAAATACTTTCCAGGCAAAATCAATCTTCCGATAATTTTGGCTATCATAATAAGTTGGTGTCAATTGACATTTGTCTTCAAGATGTGTCTACAATCTAGAGGAGATGCATGTTTGTTCACGGGAGATTCAAACTGGTATCATTGTATAGTTAAATTGAAATCTTGACCATTAACGTATGATGACTGGTGTCAAATTAATCGGTCACCGGGTAGTCACCAAGATGGCGATTAATTCTCTAGTATTGATCAAATTTCCACAGAAGATTTGCCAACACCTCAAACATCCCAATTTTATATTCTCATAAGGATAAAATATAGACAAATCTCTTTCGGATTATATTTGATAACCTTTTACACTAAACATTTTGCTGAATTTATATTGTACAGTTTGAAATTAAGGTGCTAGTCTCTTGAAAAAGATGTTGGAAAAATTGACCTGACTTCTTAAATGGAAAGTACTTGATGAAAAAGGGAGGGATGGTTGAGGGGGTTATGGGACAATGAACATAAAAGCTTCAACTTACGATGAAACGTCCAAATAGCTATTTTCATTCACTAAAATTGAATGAATACAACCGGCAAAGTTTTCACGTGACCAAACATGCCATGGCAATCGACCCACATTGTCGATACTTCCGATGTAAGTATATGTGGAAAATGCAGCTTGGTGAGCTTCTTTACCCTCTTCAACATCGACTAGCTGATTATTGTATTTTACCTGTAAGGTGAAAAAAAAGGAGGAATCTTACTGACAAATTCAGTTATTAAGGGGAATTGGACAATTCTAAGATCCATTTCACCATGGATCAGCAACAGGTAGTGTAATAATGAAAAGTTGGACGTCATTAGTGCACAATCCAGCCCCTTTGCTTAGGCGAATATAGGACGTTTAGGTGTTTACAATAGTTGCATCACCATTCAGATACTGGATGAGATATCAGCAGCCATCAGTAGAAGTATGAAACATTAATTTAGTGGTTGGATAGTATTTGAATAGCTAAGAAATCAGAAGATTCTGCCCTAGAGCGGACACTTAAACCAGCCATGACATCTCCTTAAGTTTTCCTCAGTCAAAGATGAGGACAAAAGACTTTTCACAAAAAATTCTTAAGTTTGTAACCGTGCCACAGATCATGAACCCAAGACCTTTATCCCTAATTTTTGAATTATGCATATCTCAGCCTCACTGGTGCACCAGTGATGAAGTTGATCTTTATGCATGAGAAATGGTGGTTCAATATAGAGGTCATCTTAATTTCAGCGGTGAGTTTTGACAAGTTATGTGAAAGAAACCAAACTTTCCACCTACTGAATCGACACCTAATCCTTTCCTCCCCTGATATTCTAATGTCAAATTTTCCTATTTTAACAGATAACCACTTTTTATTTCAGCCATAATTTTGCATATTCAAACATCCCTCCTGAATTTCGGAAAACACTTTTATCATAAGATCACAATAGTTGTTCTTTGTTAGAGATCCGCAGGCAGTAAATCTTGACATAAATATTTGTTTCGTCCAAGTTGGTACTCATCAGTGAGATGTATGCCGCAACAATGAAGTAACTAGTATTCCCTTCATGATTTTAAACCTATGGCACTTAGTACCAAAGTCGAAGGCCTTACCACTAAGCTATTTTGGTGATGAAGTCCTTCTCATTAGAACTGAGATATAAAGTGAAAGCTTTGTCGGGACAATTCCATCCCTGCTGAGCATTCACGATTCAGCAACGTCATCCTTTCCTATTTTGTGACCAATGCTACTGGAGTATTTGATTTAACGGATTATACTTTCAAGCTTAAGAGAACAGTCAAGTTTCTTTGTTTGGCCCGTTTACTGTTTGACCAGTGAAGTAAAGTAAATAAGGACTAAGAGTCCCCTTAACTACAGTACACGTTTACTATAAATTTGTAGCTTACCGTGAATCGATGTTGTGCATTCCGCGAGACATAAACACTGTGAATACCGCCATCATTGACAACAGTATTTAGTGGATTCAGTTGAATATGCTTATAATGACCGCCAACTGCATAGACAAAGTAAACATTCCCATCGAATAATTCTACACAGACAAAATCTCTGTGCTCTTGATCAGGTCCACTGTACGAAAGAGGGGGAAGGAGGAGAGAAAAAAAGGCAAAGAAGAGAAAAGCACATTAGCGCAGAATAATAACAAGGCATACATACATAAATGTTACCTTGGTTGTTTTAAAATTAGTAAGTGAAATTAACTGATATGGATGACTGGTTTTGTTAATCGATGAATGACACAATCGATCGATACATATAACTTGTCAATAGACTGATTTCCTGGCATTGTCATCAGAAATCGAGATAAGAAATTTGTTACTTCTTTAGTGCAAAAAGATGTCTAGTCCCAACCTGGAAACAGAATTTACGGGGATACTGACGAGGATTGCCATGAACTCACCTGTAAGATATGCCGTAAATGATACATTAAACAGATACAGTAAAGTTGTGTCGTTCAAGGAAACATCTTATTAATTTATGCAGGTTGCTGATGAATTTATTGTGAGATGATAAAGAATATTTGTAGTTCAGGAGGGTAATTTTGATGGTGTTGTATTCATTAAGCTGGATGGTTTGGTCGTAAAGCTTTCATCACCATTCTGGACAGAATCATCAGCAAAAACTTCTGAAGTTTATTCTGATGAACGTGCATTCCAGCCTATTTAGGATCGGTCGGGTGGATATACCTTTTATCTAGTGAGACTCAAATTCGAGACAAAGGGCTTTAAACGCCATAGTGTTATCCACTAGGCCTCCAAGACATAATAGCCTATTGCGCACCTATTGTGCAGCAGGTATAGTTTATATAACAAGACGGGATAATACAAGCAATACCATATAAACTACACGCGTTGTACAAGAAGTCGCTATCATGACTCAGAGGCTTAGTGGATAACACTGACGTTTAAAATGATCGTTCCCGGGTTCGAGTCTCATTGGGGACAGAAGTACTCACTGGGAGGCATGTACATCTAACTAAGAAGTCCCGGTTTTGCTGGATTTTGCTCAGGAGCCCACATGCCAATAGAGGCTGGTCAATCCGGTCCAATCAAAGCGGGGTTCATAGAAGCAACATTATATATCTAGAAGAAGAGGCGAGTTGTAGTGAAACGTATCTAAGACAGGAAGTGTAATAGCAAGGAGCACTGACACGAACGCCAAATGAACACTGCGTGAGACAATACCTTGATATTAGATTGATACCAGTAAATAAGTTTGGCTTCTCACGGATTTAAACTGAGCAGTTCCTGTGTTCCCAACATCTCTCTAAGATGCATGATGGATTCATAATTTAAAAAACCATGACTTAATACCGGATATTCTTAGATCGGCTGAACTCTAGCTCAGATAAGGGAACGGTTAATGGGAAACTGCCCTTCGCTGACTTTCTTGTTAGGCGAAAATCAAACTGACATTTTAATATGACTGTTTTCAAGAAACCAACACCTTTGAACAAATATTTTGATTTTAATTCAACCCATTCAATCAGTGCAAACGTCTCCGTCTCCTACGATGCTTTAATAAAGTCACACACTTGAATAACGGATGCATATGAATATGAGTTAGGGAATTAAAGCAATGTGAATAATATTCTATCCACAGAAACTCACTAGCCTAATAGGAAATGGTATGAAATTAGAAAACAAGGGACTCCCAAATTACTGTCCACAACAATATCATTAGAGGTGATTAGAAGAGTACCTAACAAATCAAATGTCATAGTATTCTGCAGAACATCAAACCCTTTGTACAGCACCTTATTCCATATGACGGATAGAAATCCTTCGAGATTGGCAATCAAATTGTGTTTATCAAATAAAATGCTGAGACTTAGATGTAGTCAGCATATATTGAACATACTTCACGTAAAATGAAGACTAGAAAAGATGAACATCGAAAAGCTTCCACCCAACCCCCGAGAAATTCAGTAGAGTTGAATTAGCTTGAAAGCACTTCCAACACATCCCCTCTATGAAGAACGTCTCATAGCAAAATCTCTTCACATTAAGTGGAATCAAAGTCGTCTAAATAGAAATAAGGGAGTAAAACGTAGTTTAATCTGGTCTCAACTCACCCGTGCATACTGACATAACCATCATATATGCGATAAGAACCGCCAACAAAGGTGTACATATGAATCTAAATCCATAATTCACACACAATACACCACATATGGATATCATCTTTATTCCACAATTCTGACAGCTCAGAATCCTTCCTGACTGATAGCTGCTACCTTGACGTAGTGGTCGGGCTTGCATATCACAATGACCCAACGAGCTATGCTGGTGGAATACTTGTTCCCCCGAGGTCCTACCATACCAGAAAGATCTGTTGGATAGTGTTTAGACGAAAAACATTTGCCGTTGTGGTATAAATTATCACACTATAGTGGAGGTCTGAGGGCGAAGTCGCACTGCTGCTAGCTGGATGGGGTGTGACAGCAGTAAGGTGTTTCCCTTGGATGAACAGCAGTGCCATGCTGATGCTGCCTTCTCAGTGGAAGGGGGGTTAGAAAAGGTCGGCCCCAAAAATATCAAAGTCTACCATACCTCACGATCTGCCGGGCCGGCGGTGTTGGTTCATTTGTCGTTTCTTCTCGACCATCCGGCCCCAAAAATACAAAAGTTCAAAACAACCATATACAAAAGGCTGTGTGTGACAGGCCTGGAGCAGATGTCCGATGGGCTGTGCGGTCACACAAATCTCCTCAGATACCTTAAGAAGAAATAGTCTTTACAGTTTTAACACTTGTAAAATAAACACCTTTCACAGGATGCTATGATAAATTTGCATCCTAGAAACTTCTACTATAAAATGTGCTCAACCAAACCTATGCATACGAAGACCCCCCCCCCTCTAGCAGCTGTCTTCTACTCATGTTTTACTGTATCACACAGTCTCATATTGGTATTTGAATACTTGCTTCAAATTACACCGTCAGCTCAAGTCATATAATGTTGAACTGTGTAATGAATCCTTCCTTGTCTTACATTATCTCCACCTCTTTGGAAGACACCTAGTCACTCTGTTTAATCATATGTCGTTGATTATGAGTCAGACAATCTGATTGTAAAAGTGAGTTGAACATCAATGAAGGTTGAAGTCTGCTGAATGTAGCAAATACATGCCACTGATGGGTACTGACATGTTTTAAATCTAGACTGATGATTTCCTGACTGTCGCCATAAGAAATTGACTTGAAGTTATGTTTCTTCGAAGAATAGGAAAAAAAGAAAGAATAACAATAAAAGGAGGGTAAGTTGAGTGGAAAACGAATCAAAACATGATGAAAAGAGTATGTAGCATCAGTAGAATTATGCTGGTGTGGTAGAGTACGATTTCACTATAGTTCTTTTGTTGTCTGTAGCATACAATGAAACAGTACCATTTACTGAATGACACTTCATGTAGAATTTATTGTTCATAATAATATCAAGGTAATCACACAACTTTCTGGCCTGGAGTTTTATAATTCTATCGTTCTTCATTCTTTGATTTAACGGGGAGCGAAATTCCCTACCTATCCAGAATCTGTGCTGTACCGTTCGTATTACAAACATTGAGTCGACACCGGACACACAAGATGAGATTCCCTTAGAGCGAACCAAGTTAGATGTGAGTTGAACAGTTGCTCAGCGACAGTATTGATTGGAAGTCAGACTGTATGGCGAGTTGGTAAAAGGTCGAAAGTATGGACCACTGAATTTCAACCCAGTGACTCAATGGTAACATGTCTATAATGCGACCTGAAATTCATAGGTTCGATCCTTAGTGGCTTCATGGGTATATAGTGCTGAAGACGCCTATACTAGGACGAAACAGTACTTTCAGACTTTCATTGGTTCCCCGACTGATGTCAGTCTGTGATGAATACCTTCACAAACCTCTAACTTCAGTAAATTCCGCTCAAAACGTCATCCAGTAAATGATATCATTCCACTCAGTGATACATATAACAAAAGACGTCAAAAAGATAAATCTGAGGATATCGAATTATTCAATCAGATAGTCAACTTGAAGATGAGTAAACCAGCCAGTAAGTGAGTGTTGGTGAGTTACAAAGATATAAACAATAAATCCCTTCGAAATCGAAGACAGAAATCTCTCAAGTGTTAATTATTAGTGTTTTGATAGGACTGTTTTGAGCAGTATCCAAAATACCTTGGGATACTCTAAAAAGCGTCAGATATAAATCTAGAATGATCAAGAATATGCAGCAGAAATACAATGTCATTTCGAGGAATAAAGTCACTCAAATTTAATGAGTAGGTCTCCCTTAGAAGGTTACTGAGGAATTGACTGACATCAAAAAAGCTTTAATCACGAATCGTCATCAGCTCGAGAACCAGTGAAGATGAAGAGGCAATTATCAAACTTTCCATCCTAGCTCCTGAAACCTAATAAATACTAACTCCAGACCTGTTGTGAGATCGAATCTATAATACCCGAGTCTTTTGGAGGCCCCATTAATATTCAGCAATGGATTTTAATCCGATTCACTATGAATCCCAGGCATCTATTGGCCATTTCAAATATTTCCGGTACTGGCCGTCTTCATCAGCGACATTTAAAACTTCACATGGTAAATACATATGCCATACATTCATACATGATGTAAATGTAGGTAAATATAGATGAATAAATCCTTAAAATAGACCATATATACAAGATAACACGTGAAATGCATTCTCCTGAAAAGTTTACAAATCTATTCTTACTACTGCCTAATTTGTTAGTAGACTCACTGAAGCAGACATTATTAAATGAGGATTGATCAACGTCACATGGTTTGATAAACTTACACAAACTTTCTTAGTATATATGTCAATCACCTTCAGTGTTGCATTGAAATGGTGACATTCTCGGTCTTAAGACTAATTAAGATGTTTGGAGATGGCTAAATTACAGCAAAAAGGAAATTCCACTTCCTTGTTACCTACACCACTTAAATGTCACATGAGAAACTCAAAAACTGTAAATCTGGTCATCACAAAAAGTGCATAATATTCAAGTATTTGTGGAAAAAAATTAGAGTGGATCGTATTCGAGGTCTCTGAGCGAAATGT